CCCCTCGTTCCACCCAACAGCCCTGTAAGGCCGCTATAGTTACTCCCCCATTTCACACGTGAGGAAACAGGCTTAGCGTGTTCAACGAATGACCAAAGTCATGCGCAGCTATTAAGTGGCAGATCTGAGAGTTCCTTTGTATCTGCCTTGTGACAGAGCCGGAAGGCTCCTGCTCGTGAGATTGACGCCTCACTGGTGGGCGGCTGAGCTAGAGGTTCTCACACGTGGGCCCTCAGCGCCGTCCCCTGCAGGCTTGGAGACACGGGGGGCTGCACCCTGGTCCCTGGCACGGCGGGGCGGCAGCTGTGGCGCGGGCCGCGCTCCTGGTCAGGGCGCACCAGCGGGAGACCCAGGCTCTGGGCTGAGCTGGGGCTCGAGTGGGGACCCTGGATGCCCACTGAGGCTCCGACCCAGAGCTATGTGTCCAGTATAAGCTTCCGCAGCCACGGGAGTGTTCTGGGGGCCTGCCGCTCTGCCCGGTGGCCGCCAGCTGCTAATGGCTGCCGAGCACTCGAAATGTGTCCCATGTGAGTGCGGAACTGGAGTTTTAATTTTTTCTGACTTGAATGAAATTTAAATGTACCCAGCACCCTACCTGTGACTGGCAGCTACTGTGTCAGACAGCATAGCTTTTTACTCACCAAGCAGAGTGCGGCATTTCCTTGTGGTGAAATGATTAACCCCCTTGGGTAACCCCGCATGAGAGTTGCCTCTTCCTTAGGAAGCATCACCTTGGTGGGACGGTCACGTTCGTGGCTTTGCCAAAGGTGCCTGGTACGGGGGGCGGTGCCGGGGGTCATTCTGAGGGCAAGAATCTTGCCTTCTGCTCCCCCAGCCTGCCGGCACAGGGACATGCACAGGGCGCCAGGGCCGCGTGTGCCGAGGGGGTCGGATGGAAGAGTGGTTTCAGAGGTGCCGTGGGGAAGGCCTGGGAGCCACCAGCCGGGAGCTCCCCCGTGGGGATTCCCCATCAGAGGAGGTGTTCCCTCAGGGGCAGATCCTTTAAGGTGCTATGGACGAACACAGTGTCCCTGAGGCCTGTCGGCTCTCCAGACTGTGATGTGAAGTGACTCCTCAGTTGAAACAGGTGGCAAGGAGCGGGGCACATGCCCATAACTTGGGGTCAGGTAACAGCTCCTGTATCGGATGCTGGCCGCGACGTCTCGTTCTGCTGTCGACCACTGTGAGCGACTCTCTTCTGTCTTGGGAGCCTCGGTGTGCCCCGCGGTGACGGGGAGGGCAGGGTGGCACTGGATGCCTGCTCTTCCCAAGGTGGCCCGCCCCCCAGCCGCAGGGGTGGCGGCCTCCCCAGGGAGCAGGTCAGAAATGCAGAATCAGACCCCAGAGCTGCTGGGTCAGAGTCTGCAAGGCCAGGCCCTCAGGTTCCAGGCCCCTGGGCCCTGCGGCGCGGTTCAGCGTGTCCTGGATCCCAGGAGCTCCCGCGACGTGGGTGCTGACCGTGGGCCAGACGCAGAGCTGTAGGCACTCCAGGTACAGCACCTCCTTTGAGCCTCCCTGACTGGAATCTGGGATGCGTCACCCTGGTTCTGTAGACAAACAGCGAGGCCAGGCCCCTCTGTGGGTTTCCCGACGCGAGGTGTGTGGCTGGGACCGAAGACGCTGGGACCCCTGCTCTGGGCACCTCGCTGTCCTGCTTGGCAGAGTTTGCATGACATTAACACGGCCTCAGTGTGGGTTGTACGGGGTGGGGTGGGGGCGATGGCTGTCCCTGTGCTGTCTCAGATCACCCTGCAGGTCCCCCCTCACCCCCTGCCTTAGCGCCCTCCCCCTACGTTCTCCCTTGGCCTCCGATAATCCCCGAAGGAAGTCCTGGTTTTGCAGTCTCTGTGGAAACAGGACCTCTCACCCCCGAGGCCAGGGGTGTCGCGGGGCAGGTGTGTACCTGCTGGCGCTGCTGCTCTGGGGAGGTCTGAGCCAGAGACAGAGAAGAAGTGCTGGTTGGGGGCGCGAGGGGCCGGGGACGGGGGTGGGCGGCGGGCGGGATCGGGAAGTGCGTATTGGCAGTTACAAACCCGGTCCCGGGACACACAGCACAGCACAGGGAGTGTGGTCGGTCGTGTCGCTGCAACTGTGTGGGGTGTCCGGTGGTGCTGGGTGGGCTCTAGACGTATTGGGGGATCACTTCATAAGTTACAGGAATCTAAAAGGAGATGAAGGAAAAAGTATCCAGGGGCCCCAGTAGAGGCTGGAATAACACTGCTCCTCTCTCTCCCTGTGCAGATGAGAAGCCCAGGACCCAGGCAGCTGTGGCCTGTCTCTGCAGGGAGCGGGGAGACCCCGGCACCCACAGTGACGGCGGCTGGGCGAGGCCAAGACTCCATGGTGGGCAGCGTCCCTGGTTCCCGCTGGGCGCTTGCCCGGCCTCGCGCTGGTGAGGCCTGGCGAACACGGGGACTGGGTGCAGTGGAGGGGACAGAGCTTCCGGGACACGTTCACTGTGGTTGCGAGGAGCCCAGAGTGTGGCCCATCACAGAGCGCATCCAGGTTCTTCATCCCCGCGGGCTCCGCCGGGGGGAGCAGGCCCGCTCGGGCTGTCGGGCCCAGCAGGGGCAGCGGTCACCCGGCCTCGGCCGCCAGCCTTCTACAGAGACTGCTCACGCTGTTGCGCCAGCAGGGCCCGTCCCAGGCCTTCTGCAGCTGGGATTCATGTCCCGACAGTGCCTTGGCAGCTGGAGAAGCCGAACCCCAACCGCAGCGCCAGAGAGCTTTCGGTGGCACCTGAGAGAGCTGTCCCTGGGCGTTGAATCCCCAAGCGGAATTCGAGAACCATTTGGGAGTCCCTCCAGCAGACTGTTCTCCGGGGGCGGCTGCGTGCAGTCAGGCGACGGAAGCTACTCACGGGCATGGCAGCACATGGCCGCCCCCGCCACGCGGGGTCCCTGTCTCGGGGCAGGGCCCTGCCCCCGCGGCCCCGCAGGGCTGGCTCTGAGACGCAGCAGGAGAGCTCTCGAGTGTTAGGAAGAGGAGGCTTGCGCACAGTCCCTCCAAGGGGGATCGTCGGTAAATCCCTCCAGAACGTGATCTTTCTGGTCCCTGGAAGAAGCTGTGACTGATCCAACAGCGTCAGAGCGCCAGAGCCTGGAGCCGGCCCTCCTCTCTGCGCCAGGATGGGCAGGCCTGAGGGCAGCGAGGTGCTGAGGGCGGCCGGACTGCCCCCCACCCCCGCCCCGGCCACCTCCCGCCTCGCTGCGAAGGGACCAGCTCCCGGGCCCGGAGGCCGGGCGCCCGCAGAGGAGCCCCTTGACAAATGCGGGGGCTTCTCGGCAGAAGTTGGCAAACCACCTTTGGCTTCTCTGAACTGATGCCCCTGATGAAGACTTGAGAGTAGGGCTGTGGCTTTCCCTAAGGACCGCAAAACACTCCTGTCCCCACTGTCCCCTCCTTTCTATCGCAGAGAGCATGAAAGAGGACACTCTTTTGTTGGGCTCATGGGAAAGGCGCCGTTCCCAGATTGCGATGCGTGACTTTAGCTATCGGCTGAGGCACTAGAATGGGCCCTGTTGTTCTCTGCAGATCAGACCTGGGCCCGGCAGGGTGCCTGTTACAAGGACACCGCAGGCATTGATTCTGCGAGGACTGTCCCCTCCCTCCCTAGGCTTCCAGCACACCTGTGCGGGGGCTCCCAGCTCAGGGCCCCGGCTCCCTTTCAGACCCTCCCGCGGCCCCAGCTCACGGAGTGCGCCCAAAGCGCTTCGTCTGGAGTGAAAGGTCAGGGGTGATCAGATGGGTCCCCGAGCCAGTTCAGAGGGAGGCGTGAGATAGGTTTGAGCTGCTTTCCCACTTTCTCCCTGTGGTGAACTATCTGTTTGCTTCTGGGCACAACTACAGTCAGGCTCAGGGGAGGAACTGGGGCCGTGGGCATGAGCCCAATCTGCGCAGTCGGCACGCCACATGGGACTGAGGACAAAGGCGTTCCTCCAAGGGGCATTGTATTCTGAAAGGGCAGCCTGGCGTCTTTTTTTAAAAAGTTCCTGCCTTGAGGTTTATCTAGACAGATTCCCTTATCACCTTCTGCATGAATAAAAGGAAAAAAAAAAAAATAAGTGGCTTTAGTAAAATGGAAGTTTAGTGTATCTCTCTCACATAAAAATAGATCTCTAGTCTAGGGCTGCTCATTTCTCCACACAGTCGGAGCCAGGTTTCTTTGTTTACTCCGTCATCATCCACGCATGGCTCCCGTACATGGCCCAGGATAGCTGCTGAAGATCCAGCCATCACATCTCAATTCCAGCCAGCAGGAAGGCCGGAAGAAAGGCTTTCTGGAAGGCTTCCCTTAAGAACGTTTCCTGAAATTCGCACGCTACCTGTCTGCTCTGTTGGCCAGAACTTAATTCCAAGGCCACAGCTGATGTGAGAGAGAAAGTGGCCTTCATGCTAGGTGGCCATGTGCCCGGGTAAACATCAGGGGTTCCTTCCCTGAGTAAGGAGGAAAATGGGTGGGTATTGGGGCACTTATCTATCTCTGTCCCTGCCTTTCTCTTGGATGGGTCAAAGCAGAGTCTATAACACACAGGCATTGTACTTAGGATTTCAGGAGTAGTATCAAGATTTGTTTTAGAAACATAGACAGAGAAAGGTGGCATCAAGGTTAGAACTCAGCCAGTTTGCATCCTCCTTTTTCAGGTTAGGAAACGGAGGCCCAGAGAGGTTAATGAAATCAGCTGAAGCCACGCAGCCAGTTGGTGACATCCAGCTCCCAGCTCCTGTCAGGGGGCGCAGCTTGCTTTACGGCTGTGTGAAAGGCTCCTCATGAAGGGGAGGGGCCGGGACACGAAAGATGCAGTTCCACGAGTCGTAGGGTCTCTGAGCTGCAGGACACGGGCGGGTCGGCGGCCGGGCTCGCGGGCCCCGATCCGCCCACGCTGAGTCCCGGTGGCTGGGGGCACTGCCCTGGCGCTGCCTCGGTGTGTGCGTGCGGCCCGGCCGGGGTGCGTCTGCCCAAGGGGGATGCAGGCGGACCTGCTGTCCTTGTGTTCCAGGGAAAGCTCGGCCAGGATGGGGTTTGCCGGGAGGCAGGGCCGCTCCTTCGCGGGGATGCTGACCGTCAGCCTGCTCCTCTTCGCCGGGGACGGGACCGCAGGTGAGCCGGGGCAGAGCCGGGGAGGCGCGCTGCGGGCGCGGGCGGGCGCGGGCGCGGGGTGGGGCGGGCTGAGGTGTCTGGGCTCTGACAGGCCCTGCTACCTCCTTGATCCCAGACAAGCCTCGTCCTGGGCTTCCGTCTCAGTGCGCACAAGGCGAAGGGGCTGCACCCTCAGTGTCTGGAGGAGCCAGACACGTGGCGTAAACTGGGGAGGCCGTCCAGGCGGGGATGGCGGTCGCCTGGGGTGCTCAGGCCCCTGTGAGGCGACGCCCTCTTCTGGTCTCTGGCAAATGGCTGCCCTGTGTGAAGGTGGGGCCCCCGTTGCAGGGTCTTGTGAATTTTTAAGACAAGCCAGAAATCTAGACGCTTGGGTCGCAGCTCCCCACCTGTTCAATGTTGGCAGCCAGGCCCAATCGTGCAAACCGCAACCCTGTGAGCCCCCGTCACACAGAGGGCGCCTGTGACCCCTTCCTGCTCTCTCGCCGTGAGCTCCGGGCACTGTCGGGGTGCCTGCTCTCAGCGAGACTGAGGTCTGTTCCTGTGAGCTCAGTAGCAACTTCTTCTTCGCATGGTTTTGAGTCAACATCCAGAAGCACAAGGCCCGTTCAGCCGGATATAGAAAACGGCGACCAAATGAACCAAAACGGGGAGAAGGTAGAGATGGGGGCAGTTTTAAACTTTTGATTACAGGTTTAGTAAAAATACCATCACCATCGATTGCTTTTTAAAAAATCCTACTCTAATTAATGGAACCGGATGCTTTTGTACAATAAGAATAAAGGACCTTACATACTACATTTTGGTTTTCCTCAGCCCACCGATGGAAGGAAGTCATCTCTCAACTTGACTAGTGAAATTCCTTCAATGTGATTCCTTGTAGAATCTTTCCGACCCTCGGGGGCAGAGAAAGCCACCAGCATTTTTGCTGTTTTGCTCGTGACGCAACAATTGACAATGTTGCCCCAAATCAGCCACTTATCCTCCCATCATTTACTCTGAATGCGCACCAGGCGGGCCCTGACCCTGTGCCAGGAGCTGGGCTGGGCCTTCTCTTTCAGGGTGTCCACAGCAGGGCCTGGGGGGGGCGTCTTCTCAGCCCTGCCCGGGGTGTCCCTCCCGCACCCTTGGCCTCTCTCTTCTGGCTGAGCACAGACCCTTTGGAAGGCCTGGCCCCCCCTGGCCTGCGTTTTCCCTCCTGTCAGGCGGATGCAGACGCCAGCCCCGGCCATTCATGGCCCAAGTAGTTCCGGCTTTTTCTCACGCCCCCCACTCCCCGCCCCTGCTTCCCACGGCCCCTCCTGGGAAGAGCGGTTGCTGTGGTGACTGTTCGGGGAAGGCACTGACCATTTCCAGCTACTGAAAGTGACCTTCCCCGAGAGCTCAGCACCCAGGTCCAGCGGAGGCACTTGCGCACAAGGCCGACTGGTGGCTGCTGTCCTCGCGCTGCAGGCTCAGGCTGGCTGCCCCCGGGCCCAGGTGCGCAGTCTGGGGCACGTGCATGTGGAGAGCGAGGGGCAGCAATGCCGTCCTGGGAGGCATGGGTGCCGAAACCTGCGGCCTTGCCTGTGGATTTAGGACGATCCCTCCTCGGCCAGCTGGTGGCTCCATGCCTGGACCACTGGGCTCACCCATCGGCCTCGTGTTTCCTGCACAACTGGGGAGTCACCTCCCCGCGAAAAAACACCCCAGGCCCAGGACAAGGTGGAGGGCAACGGGGGCCTCTGATTGGCCCCTGCTGAAAGCCAACCAGCACTTGCCGTCTAGGGACAAACACCCAGGGCAGGGCCCTCTGCGGGGTGAGGCTGCAGAGCCCCGGCGAGCGCCGCGGGCTGCGGAGTGGCAAAGCAGATGCCTGCTGCCCCTCCTGGCACCCCTGCTCTGCGTTAAAGCAGAAAGTTCGCTGGCAGCAAGACCTCTGTTGCTGCTGCTGTTGGATCACTGCTTGAGTTCCGAGGCCCCGGGCGTCTACACCAGCCGGAAGAGTGGTTTCAGTGAAACCAAAGTATGAGATTCTCTTCTCCCTGAAGGAGATTAGGGCCGTAGTTAGGACTGGCGGGCACTGCAGGGTTGGGGCTCAAGGGAGGGACGCATCCACAGACATGTGACACACCAGCTGTAGTGGGTAGGAGGCGCAGGCCCCCCGCTGCGGCCTGCGGCAGCCGTGCTTGGGGAGGTCGGTGTGGGGGAGCCCTGACATCCCTCCGTCTTTGCAGGGGCGGCTGAGTGCCCTGACCAGAGCCCCGAGCTGCAGCCCTGGAGCCCAGGCCATAACCGAAACCACCGCGTGTTCATCGGCCGGGGCCAGGCTCTCCTGCTGACCTCGTCTGCCACCGTGCACTCTATCCACATCTCAGACGGAGGTGAGCCAGGCTCTCCCCGAGCTCTCTCCTCCCCTGCCCAGAGCCTCGCAGCTGAACGTGGGTCGCCATAACCTCAGGTCGACAGGACAGAGCCACGTGCTTTGGGTTCGTGTGGCAGCATCCTGTTCTTTGAGATAACCATCAGCTCTGAGCGCTTAGGAATGGCTTGTCTGAGGTCCAAACATGGAGAAGGAAGCTTTTATAGAGCAAGATCCTTCCCAGTGCTGCGAGCATGCCAGCTCATCTTGCCTTCAGAGGCTTGTTCACGGAATGCCATGCACGCCGGGATGGCAGGACACCAAGCAGCCGTTGTGTACACATTGCAAGGCAGAGAGGAGAGGAGAGCACGCAAGCCCGGGGGGTTCGAACGCCGTGCTCCTTGCCCACTCAGCTGAGATGGGGGCTTGGGGTGCCTGACCTCGGCTCTGCTGTCACCTCACCCCATCCCTGCCTCCTCAGGAAAGCTTGTCATTAAAGACCACGACGAGACCATTGTTTTGCGGACCCGGCACATCCTGATTGACAACGGAGGAGAGTTGCATGCTGGGAGTGCCCTCTGCCCTTTCCAGGGCAATTTCAGCATCGTGTTGTATGGCAGGTGGGTAGATGGCATCCATGGGTCCAATGCTGCTCTTGGACCTGACGGGAGGGAGACTCTGTGAGGGGGAGAGGGGGACGAGAGGGCCGGGCGTCCGTGTAAGAGGGAGGTGCCGCGCACTGCCAGGCCGTGATCGCGAGCGAGGCAGACCGGCGACAGGGGCGAGCCGCACAGGTGCACGGGGCGTTTTGCTGTTGCAGCAGCCATGGCAGCCTTTCCGCCGCCGCCTGGCCTGCCGCGGCTCAGAGAGGCTCTGTTTGTTTAACCGCTTACAACGGACCAGATAAAGAAAATTCTGTGCAGTGTTTGCCTCTGGCTGCGCCCGTCCTCAAGCGATTGAGAGCTGCAAGAAGCAGTAGCCACAAGTACGCAAGGGTAGGCAGTTCCTGTCCAGGTGATTCCATGTGAGTCACGGAGCAAGTTATCAAATATTTAGCCTTGAAAAGACGTGCCAACATGTAAACTAAAGCTACGTATTTCCACTTGGCCTTTTGGCCTCACTGCGGTCTGGCTTCCAAAGAGGCCGCTGGAAGGCTGCCTTCCCAATCTCGTGACATCCCAAGTGGTGGCCACAGTGGGGGTCCCGGAGCAGCGAAAGCCGCCGGGCAGCGTCAGGGGCAGAGAGGTGTCGGCGACGTGCAGAGCTGTCTTCCCTTGCAGGGCCGACGAAGGCGTCCCGCAGGACCCCTACTTTGGGCTGAAGCACATCGGAGTTGGCCAGGGAGGCACCCTGGAGCTGCACGGACAGAAGAAGCTCTCCTGGACGTTTCTGAACAAGACCCTTCACCCAGGCGGCATGGAGGAGGGAGGCTATTTTTTTGAAAGGAGCTGGGGTCATCGTGGAGTCATCGTTCATGTCATCGACCCCAAATCAGGGACAGTCATCCATTCTGACCGGTAAGGTTTGTCTCCACTCAACCACAGACTCCTGCGTTCAGCGTGTGTTTGTGAGCTTGTGCGCCAGCCCGGCGTTGTCCCCGGTGCAGGACTAGGGCAGCGGGCGAAGCGCACACCCATGCCTGACCTCAGGGAGCTGCATCTCTGCCTCAGCAGGCGATTGCCCAGAGAAGCTGACTTTAACAGGAACAGGCACATGCACACACACACTTAGGTGCACACAACATAATGGCAGGTTATGGTAGCTTGTGATTAGGGAAAAAGGTGCAGTGACTGGTCACTAGGGAAGACCAGTCACGCCAAGTGGTCAGGAAAGGGTTTCTGTGCCCTTCTGAGCTGAAAGCTGCACAGTGAGGCTGCGTCGGGGAGTGTTCAACAGGGAGGGGCAGGTGCCAAAGGCTGGAGGGGAGAAAGGGCGTGGTGGCCTCACGCATGGAGGCGCCACCTGCGTGGGCTCCCCCAACTGGAGGCTGTGTGGCCCCAGAAGAGCAGTGTGTTTGGTGTGAACCCCGGTAAGGAATTTATCTGCTGAGAATGGCTCCCCATGGGTAACCTGGGGCCCAAAATTTATACATGAGAGTCTAGTGGCTCCTTGTGGGCGCGGGCCTGGCCCACACGGTGACAGACCCTGCCCCTGAGGCTTGTCCTCGACTCTGTTGTGGAAGTTTGTGAGGCGCCCACGCTGGCCAGGGCGCCCTCGGGGGAACACTGGGCGGGCGCGCATTCGGGGAGCCCCGGTTAGGGCTGCCGTGGGCTCCGTCCTCCGACCAACCGAGCCAGGCGACTGCCGCTGCAGTGGCGCAGAGGCTCTGCTCGCCTCCCGACGCGGCCGGCGCGCCCACCCCGCGGCGCCGTCCGTCCTCCGGGAGAGCCTGCCCCCTTGAGGTCCGGGCCGCCTGCTCTTCCTCTCCCTTTCCTTCCCTTGAGTTGTAGTTAACATTCAATATTATATTGGTTTCAGGTGTACAGCATAGAGATTAGACATTTATATACTTTACAAAGTGATCGGCCCAGTAAGTCCACTACCCACTTGACACCACACATGGTTATTATGGTATTACCGGCTATATTTCTTGTGCTGTAGTGAACATCCGTGGGACTGTTTTTATAACGAGCAATGTGTACTCATTCCTGCCCCTTTCTTACCCAACCCCCCAACTCCCCTCTCATCTGGTGACCATCACCAGTCTGTTCTCTGTATCTATGAGTTTGTTTCTGTTTCGTATGTTCCTTTATTTTGTTCTTTAGATTCCATGTGTAAGTGAAATCGTGTCATTTGTCTTTCTCTGTCTAACTTATTCCACTGAGCATAACACCCTGTAGGTCCATTCGCGCCGCAAACGGCCGATTGCCTCCTTTCTTACGGCTGAGACACGTCCCACTGGGCGCATGCACCACCTCTTCTTCTTCCCCTCGCGGGCCCTTAGGATGCGTCCATGTCTTGGCTGTTGTAAATGGTGCTGAGGTTTTTCGTGTATGTCATGGTCCGCATCGTACAGACAAAAACAGCGAGGCTCGGGGGGCTAAGTTTGCCCAGCGTCACAAGGCTGGGAAGTGTGGGAGCTGGGGCGCAAACCCAGCTTGCCCAGACCCCTCCCCACTGTGCTGGCTCCGCCAGTGCCCTGGGGACAGCCACGGGCCTCAGCCCCCGGGGCCATGGGCAGCCAGGAGGAGCACGGCGGACACCGCGCCCGTCGGAGCGTGGGCCTGCCCTGCACACGCGGGGGCCGCCTCCCCAGCTGCGTGCTGGCTCCTAGGTGCGGCTTCCGGGGTCGGGGCAGCAGGGTCACCCGCGGAGGCCAGCTCAGCGGAGGCCAGCTCAGCGGAGTCCATTGCTGAGCTGGGGACCGAGGGGCTTCCCTGACAGCGGCTGCGGGGGCTCCGAAGGGGATGCTCGGCCTCCTGCGCTGCTCCACTTAGGTGTCCGCGGCCTCGGGGGTCTGCTGGCCGACCGGGTCTGAGCGGAGGTGATAATAAACACTACACGCACACACACATGCAGGCCAGTCACCTGAGAAGGGTACCTGGAGGAAGAATAACATAGGCATGTGCTTGAAAGGTGGTAAGCGTTTGATTAGGCAGCGAGAAGGTGCGCACGGGGGAGGGCAGGCCGGCGTGGGCGTGGGCGTGCGGTGCGGTCGCAGGGCGCCGAGCTGCCGGAGACTGGCCACTGCAATGCCTGGGGCGGGGCGGGCGGCTGGACCAGGCTCTGCAAACAGTGACTCAGAGGCCACTGTCCCGCTGACCGCCCCCTGACCACTGGTTTTCTTTTCCAAATCTTGACTAGTCACACGCTTTTATTTTTCTAGATTCATTTTAGAACTATTTTGCCTGTTAAGTCCCAAGACAGATTCTTTTGGAGTTTCCATTTTAATTGCACAAAACCTTTATAGCTACGTGGGAGAGAGTTGGCATCGTTACACAAATTGCCTCTTTCCTTTGAAAACTTTTGTCCACCAGTGAGATGAGTATTTCATTTTATGTGCATAAGGGCGGGTCATTGGTGTCCAGTTGGAGATGCTCTAATTGTGCCGTAATAAGAGCTTTTCTCTTCAAACACCCGAGCCCTTGGGGTCTGTGGGTGGCATGGCGGTTGTTGCAAGAAAGACACAGACTTCACGCTGGTTGTCTTGGCTACTGTCAGGACTAGCCAGCACCCTCCCTCTGCCCTTTGTAGGTTTGACACCTACAGATTCAAGAAGGAGAGCGAACGTCTAGTCCAGTATTTGAACGCCGTGCCCAACGGCAAGATCCTGTCGGTCGCAGTGAATGACGAAGGGTCTCGGAACCTGGATGACACGGCCCGGAAGGCGATGACCAGGCTGGGCAGCAAGCACTTCCTGCGCCTGGGATTTAGGTACCGCCCATCCCCGCCACTCCTCAGGCCCCGGCCCCCCCCGCCCCCGCCCCGCGCGGCCTTTCTTACACATTATAAAATCAAAGTCTCGGTCATATTGAACTCATTCATTCAGCCAGCCACTTACAAAAGATGAACTGAGCATCTTCGGTGTGTGCGAGCCATGCCCCGGTGGACACCGCCAGTGTTCACTTCGTTTTCCTTTGACAGAGGGGTCACCCTGCCCTGGGGACGGGCAGGTCCTTGTTTAGAGATCACATGGAGCACCCTGCCTGGCGCCCCCCCCCCCCCAGGAAGGGTACTTTGATGTCTTTCCCTCTGAGTTCTGATGGCCTCAGACCGAGCATCGTGCCCATCTTTGGCATGTACTCATGGCACCCAGAGGAAGCCGTTCGCCCTGTGGCAGCCACGCCTCTCTGTCGTGTGGGATCAGCCCTCGGCTCGGGGAAGCTGAGGACTCCTGCCCTGCAGGGGGCTGGCGGGGCAGGCGGGGGCCGGCCAGAGCCTTTTTGGGCTCGGAGCACAGCAGCCTTCCTGGGGGGTGTGGTGGGGGGGGCTCCGGATTCCAGAGGGCGTGCAGCCGAAGATGACAGGGACACCTTGGTATCACAGGGCTCCTCTGTCAGCGTCTGTTTTATAAGCCAAGAGGCTAGTTCTGTCATACACCCTGAGAGACTGAACCACGGGGGCCTGGCTAGCTCAGCAGAAGGAGGCAGTGACCAGGGCCCAAGACCCGGCATCCGATCGATCTGATTTTCAGTCTGGGCTGCGCCTCCTCTGAGGTGTGACTGCAGGCAAGTGACTCACTGTCTCTGCGTGGCTCCTGCACCTGTAAAATGGGAGACGTGGGAGCCACCTCCAGGGACCGGGGAAGGGTCACTTGTGATAACAGGAGCACAGAATAAGGACTTGATAAACATTAGAGACAAGAGCTGGGGAAGGACGGACCCTGCCGTGGCCTGTCCTGGCCGTTGGCACCGCAGAGGACCTCGGCGTGCAGGAAGTTTTACCCCTCATTCACACAGACACACCCTGAGTGACACACTCAAAGCTTTTAAAATCAGTGCAAGAACTGAGATCTGGACCCGTCATCTCTTCATTCATTTCAGAAGTGGTTACTGAGCAGGTGTTGGCATGAGGCTCCAGGGCAGACGCGGCATCCCGAGCGCACGTGGGAAGGGAGGCAGTAAGGGGTAGGATGAGGAGGCATCTGGGAGCGAGAGCGCGGACAGGTGACAGAGGGGGCTATAGTGCAGATCCCAGGAGCGACCAGGAGGCCCAGGGTCCCCAGGACGGGTGTGTGGCTTTCCTGAAGACGGGAAGGACAGGCAGCGGCAGGCGTGTGACGGAGGGAGGGAGGGAGGGAGAAGGCTGTGAGGTGGGCACAAGAGGGCCCTGCTCCATGCCAGGGAGCTTGGTTTGCATCCAGCGGGCAGTGGGGAGCCACGGAAGGGCTTGGCCGGAGAGGGACGCAGTCAAATCCCCAGCCTCAACAATAGACTTACCTCCCGAGATCAGAGGTCAAAACTGAAACCATAAAAGCTATGAAGGGCCAAAAGCTTTGAGGTCTCCCAGCAGGCAAGAGGCAGCATTGGGCATTTGGGGACGGACAAGGTGGGTACGAAGGCCTCCCACCCCCGAGCCGTGTATGCTCCCGTGGAGGGAGGCGGACTGGACAACCTTTCAAAAACCTCACACCCCATCTTTCTCCTTCGCTCCCCATTAAGAAGAAGAGGCATCTCTTTCATTCCCGAAGGCTGTTGCCAATCCCCAGGTGGTCAGTCACTCTAGCCTCTGCGTCTTCCTCGGGGTGGCCTTGGGGACACCTGGCGTGAGAGGATGACCCTTCTCCTGGAACGGGTTGCCTTGTTTACTCAAGGAACCAGAGCACTTGCTTCAGGGCCTAAGTGAGCCTGGCGGGTGTGGGCAGGTCTGCGGGCTTGTTTATTTGTGACTCATGCCTCGTGTTGGGCCAGAGGAGCTGAGAGGCTCACAATATGCAAACACTGGGCGAGCCAGGTGGGTAGGAAGCCCAGAGTTTGCAAGAAAGGCTCTTATTCTTGTGGAGAATGGAAGCCCAGCCTGGAGTCACTTCCCCCGGCGCCCGAGGGCTGCTCGCCGGGGGCTGTGTGTCCCGCCTGCCTCCCTCACGGGCTCAGACCTGTGAAGACGTTTACGCCTGCTGTTGTTGGTTTCAGACACCCGTGGAGTTTCCTGACTGTGAAGGGAAATCCTGCAGCGTCCGTGGAAGACCACATTGAGTATCACGGTAATAATGGCTGACGGAGAGGCTCCGGCCTTCCTGGGGCGCGCTGACCGTGCCCATCAAAGGGCCAAAGGCCGACACCAATGAAGGTCAATTAATAAGATAGTACCTGTGTTTTGGGGGAACTCGTCACTGGCTTGGTTAACCTCACAACAAAAGGCCTTTCAAAGTGAGAGGCAACCTGTGTTCATTTCAGATCAATAAAAATAGCTATTTGGGAACCATTAATTCAGGCAGAAGCCCAAATGGAGTTCGAGTTAGCAGACAAAGGCGAGGGGCGCTTCGGAGAGAGGGTGGGGGAGCAGCTCCATCCACGGCAGGAAGGCACTGCTGCTGGTGCCTCAGACAGAACGCAGCGGTGCTCTTCTAAGCAATGGCTTTCATTTTCAGCCTGGGAGCCAGCTGTCCAGCGGGCATCATACCTGCTTTATTACTATCTTTGCAAACAGTTCTTTGGGCACCAAGATGCTTTGGGTCCCCTAGGGTGGCCATTTCACCATTTTGAGATCCCAGAGACTTGAGGTGTATCATGTGCCAGCCAGCTCCTCTGGGATGGAAGCTCCAGCGCCATTTGAGAGTGGCTTTGTTTATACTTTTTCTTAACACCTTAATCCTAAACAAGTGGCATCGGAAAGGCAGGAGCTGGGACAGAACCAGCAGGGGTAATATTTTGAGCTGAAAAGAACACTTTGGATGGGTCTTTGCAGCGGCAGCTGCCTCTGCCCAGAGCAGGGAGCGGGAGGCATGGCCGGGCCGGCCGCAGAAAGGAGCTCACACGAGAAGGGCCCAGGCTCTGAGCTGCAACCTGTGGGGATGCAGCTCAGCTTTCAAAACTGAAGCAAAAGAGGGGCAAACACCTGCTTCTGACGGGAAAGAGTGGCCAGGAGCTTCTTTTAAAGAATCAGCTGAAGAGCCCTGTGTTGGGGGAGCTTCTCTGCCTCAGACTCGTGCCCCTCTGGGTTTGGGGGTCGGTCTGTTGCTGAACGTCGGGTCTCTGTCAGGTCACGGTGGCTCTGTGGCGGCCCGGGTGTCCAAACTGTTCCGGTCGGAGCACGGCGAGTACTTCAGCGTCTCTTCATCCAGCGAGTGGGTTCAAGGTGAGGTGCTGGGGGCCGCCCGGTAAAACCTAATGCTTGGACAAGAGGCCGGGACATACTGCTTTGCAGAACAAGGATTCTCCCCTTTACCAATAAGGCCACTTCAATGTGGCAGAGTCAATGAAAGTTGCATCTGAAATCTGTCTTCACTGCATCGAGCCACTGTGGCCAATGGTCCGGAGGGAAGCCTTTTCCCTCGACTGTGCCCGGAAGCAGCACCGACCGGGGATACAGGCAGGACAGCCAGCGCCGGGCCACTGCGAGCCCGCACGGGGGCGGGGGTGCAGAAGGCAGCAGTCCTTGAACAGTGGGTTCGCCCTCGGGTTCCTCATTCTCCTTTCTGCAACAGGGAAGAATGCCTATTGTATTTATAAAGTAAGAGGTGTTTTTAATCACGAGTTGGGAGAGGTGGCAAGTTGTCCTCCTGCCTCATGCGGCCCCAGGCAGGCGGCACTCCATCTGCCGTGCCGAGGGCACTCGGCGGCTACGCTAAGCCTGGCCTGCCCACCACGGGCCCTCCTGTCTGACCGGCTCTTTGCTCTCTGCCTAGACGTGGAGTGGACAGAATGGTTCAACCATGACAAAGTGTCATCCACGAAAGGCGGGGAGAAAATTTCAGACCTCCGGGCAGCTCACCCAGGAAAAATCTGCAACCGTCCACTCGATATACAGGTACCAACTCAAAACGGTCGCATAGTTTTTTGGGGGAAAGAGTCTGCAGATCTCAGACATCCTTGCTGTTTGAGTGGCATGGTTCCCGTGACCCCCGTAGCACGCAGGTGAGTCAGAGACCGCCGTTCCCAGTGTCCAGGCTCATCCTACCAGCCTGATCCTCCTTGCAAGCCCTTAACTCATCCTCACTTGCTCCCGCAGCCACGCCCGCACAGGCGTGGGCTTCACCAGCTGGGTCTCACGCCTCAGCTCATTTCCTCTGGGTCCTTGAGTGCACAGGACCCAGCGGCATGGGGGGTGCAGGCTGAGCCCAGTTTGGGGGGAGAACACACCCACAGCTGGTTCTCCCGAGAAGGCAGCGTTCGTAGACGGACATTGTTTTCTCAGGATCGGCCCGTGGAGTCCCCCGACCTAAAAGGGACCTGGACTTTCTCACCGTGGCAGCGCTGAGTAAACACGCAGCCCTCTGTTACAGCAGCTGCGGAGCTGTGCACTGGGCACACCTCAGGGAAGGCCCGGACACAGGCGGAGCCGCGGCGTTTGTTCTCTCGTGCCTGGTCTTATTCCCAAGCAAGGTTGAGGCCACTTACAGTGCCTGATGTACAGTCAGAGGTCATTTAAGAAAGACCGTCCCTACCCATTTGTCCTCTTTCAGCCAATAAAACACCTTGTCCTAGGTGATCTGACCGCAGGTCCCAGGTCACCTGACTGTCCCGCTCACCCCCTCGCACGGTGGAGGGGCTGTAGACAAGGAACCACTTTTCCAAGGGCGGACACTCTGTTCTGCAGTCAGCAAAGACTGAGGAGACCTTGCTCATTCTTTGGCACAGGTCTTTGTTCACGTGGCTCTGATGTTACTGAAGGATTTACTCAGATTAGGTGGTAAGTTGTAGATTCTTCTTGGGTCCAACAGAGTCAAAAACGTTGACCTCCCCCACCCACTGCCTGCCACCCACCAAAGACCGTACTTCCCACATCTAATTTTAATTTTCTGTTGCCACCTTTAACATCCCAGCTTTCAATCTGAAGTAGCCATAGTCTTATTCTGCCAGCTCACTGGTCTATAGAAGGTCCGGCCCTTTACCAGACTCTGCTCCCCAAATGTTTCTGGAAACCGCGGATGCTCACATGTCCGGCGCGGGCCTCGGGGGGCTGCAAACCGCGGCTCTTCGGGAGATGGCCTCTCCCCGCCCGGCCTCCCCCTCTCCTCCCGGAACTGTGTCCCCCCTGGACTCAGGCCTGTCCCTGAGAGTCGGAGCACAGCTGATCCCAGGCCAGACATCACACACCGCTTCCCCGACGGCTTGGAGACAGCGAGGGAGAGCGGTGCGGGCAGCCTGGCCCCCGGCGCCCACGCTCGGTCCCGGCCCGAGGCGCCAGTGCAGGCGCCTCCCTGACCGTCTCCGCTTCCTCCTGTGGGGGGTCGGGGACGATGACTGTCCCCTCGTGGCGTTGGTGTGCGGTTTTAATGCCACAATATGTGACGAACTTGATCCACAGTGAATGCCCATCAATTTTTTATGTTGAAATTATTTTATTTCATTATGGCAATGGGAATACTGCCAGTTTTGTGATTATTAATTATTACGAGTTACAATAAACAATAGTGTCTACTTTCAGTGAAGGTCAGTTCCACCAAACACGGACAGAGCCCTGTTTACTCTGCAGCCCAAAACTGAGGTCTTCCTTCAAGTTAGAAAAAGGAAAGAAAAAGAAAAAGCAGCGGAATCGAGTAGCTCTTCCCTTGAAATGTTTGCTGGATTTTGTCTCTTGAAAAATGTTCCGCTCTTTCTGCCGACGTTTTCAGCCCAGCTTCCAGCGGACAGGGCCTCCTCAGAAGACGCTGCCGCAGGGAGTCCGCGATGCTGGGCGTGGCGCCCCAGTGACCTTGCGCTGCTGAACCGCCCTGAGCCCCCGCACCTCTCTGGAGAGCTGCTCCGCAGCCCCTGCCCTCCCGCGGCCGACAGGCCCCCGAGAGAGCGGTGGGCGTGCGGAACTCACGGGAAAAGGCAGCCTTTCCGTTGCGGTTGAACTCACGTCTCTGTGCTCTCCTGCCAAGCCTAAGACAACGGGCATCTGCTGGGTTGAGAACGATAGTTCCTAAAAAGCACCCCCTTTTCCAGGTTGACCATCCTTTGACTCCCTGTTTCTCCAGCCCTGGTGCTTTTGATCCCTGTGCCAAGGAGGACGACAGCTGCAGCCCTCGCTGAGAGTTGCGTGTGCCCGGTGGCAGCTGGCCTGGCCGTGCCCAGCCCGGGGATGGCCCCAGCTGGCAGCGCGCGCCTCCCCGAGCGCGCCCCCGACACCCCCTACCTGGCCGCGAGGCAGCGCGCCCGCCAGCCCCCGTCAGCTGAGACCCCTCCGGGCCGAGCCCCGGGCTGGAGCTGGGGTCAGGGAGGCAGGAGAAGCCCGGTCCTTGCTGTCCCCAGAGCCCACGGCCAGTGGGGGAGACGGACGTTGAAGGACACCAGGCTGGGAGCCCCGAGGGCCAACTGCAGGCTCTGCGGTTGGACGGGGCTGGGTTCATTGGAATGCTGGCTCCACCACTTGCTGGTTTTGTGACCCTGGGCGAGGTCCCCAACCTCTCTGAGTCTCTGTGTCCTTATCTGTAGAACCAGCAAAGACCTCAGAGTTTTGCCATAAAGCTGGGGTGAGATAATAAGTGAGCCCTTAGCTCCATAGCTACGAGGTGGGGCCTTGCAACCTCACCGCCCTTTGGAATCCCTGGGGCAGCTTTTCAAAGGTCTGGTGTCTGGCCCCACCCGACACAGTCAGATCTGAGGCTCGGGGGTGAGACCTGGGCGGGAGCATTTTTGGAGTCCCCGCATGATGTGGAGTCATCAGTGGATTGAACGTGACAAGGTTTCATGCGGCCACCGTTCGTGGCGCTGGTGGCGGCTGTAAGTAGCCCGCCCAGCTCCTAAGAGAGCTCGTGCTTGTAGGAGACTCTCCTTAAAATGTTCGCCCAGCGACGCACAGCGAGCCCCTGGTCTGTGTACTGATACTGCAGGCCCCCTGTGACTTCCTGACAGAACGGTACAGTCGGTCGTTGAAATAGTCTTGGGCCATTGTGCATGCTTGTTGCTTCAGGGACAATTTTAGACTCATGAGTATATGTTTATAGCATTAATCATCACCTTCCTTCTTTACAAAAAAGAATGACTGTGCTCTATAATTTCCGTGCCGTACGCAGGCCACTACAGTGGATGGCGCTAACCTCACCACCGAGGCCGTCTACAAGAGAGGCCAGGATTATAGGTTTGTGTGCTACGACCACGGCCACGCCTGCCAGAGATACCGTGTGCGTTTCCTGTGTGGGAGGCCTGGTAAGTGGCTGCTTGTTGGGCAGGAACGAGGCGGTGGCTGTGCACTGTGAGCTGGGGTGGCTGGGGCCACTGCCTCTCAGTGTCTCAGTGACACGAGCTCCCGCCAAGCGCGCGATGACACAGGAGAAGTGGGCGGGTGCTCAGAGTTGGCAGGAGCCAGCAGACCCCACCCTGCCCATTTGTCTGTCAGGAAGGAGAAGGGCCTGGTCCAAGAAAACCAGGGCGCAGCGGACAGAGCCGGCCTTCCTGCACCACCCGCCACACAGGCGTGCGGCCCCTTGCCTCCTCGGGCACTGTTATTTTAAACCCAGTTCCCGAGATGCTCGTTAGAGGGGGCTGGAAATGGCCGGTTTGTTCGCGGGGGCACTTGGCCATCTGCAGAAGGCAGTCATTAGGGACGGGAGGTCTTTGGGGGAAAGGCTCACAGCTACTGTAAATAATAGTTGAGAGGAACTATATTTGTTTTACATCTTGAGCAAAGTGGGTGTGGTGAGGCAGCCGCATTGAGCTCCAGCTGAGGACCGAATGGAAAATTCCCCTGCCCAGAGCTAATGAATGCCTCTTTTCTGGTAGCATTTTTGTTGACTTCAAAAACCTGTACCGAGACTGAAAAGGAGTGAGCCTGGCGATTTGGGTTTTGGACAGGCAAACCTGGCGTTTACTTACTTAGGGCGGGGAAGGGCAGAGGGGGGCGGTCAAAAGTTTGCCCAGGGCGAAGGGCCCTCATCTCAGTCCTTCCCGCTGTGGGTTACAGTGCGGCCCAGACTCACCGTCGCCGTCGACACCAACGTCAACAGCACCGTCCTGACTCTGGAAGACAACGTGCAGTCATGGAGGCCGGGGGACACCTTGGTCGTCGCCAGTACGGATTACTCCATGTACCAGGCGGAAGAGTTCCAGGTGCTCCCCTGCAGAGCCTGTGCCTCCAACCAGGTCAGAGTAGCAGGTAGGACTTTGACGAACCCCACCCTAGGCTGGCGGAATCTGGAGATGTTAGTCTTAAAGTTGGCCGGAATCACAGGCGATCTGTGTTAGGCAGCTATTGCCATAATAATGCTGCGTAACAAAAAAAGCCCCTAAAATCTCACGGCAAAAATTTCGTTCTCACGCACGTGTCTGCGCCTGTCTGGGGCTCGGCTTCTCCAGGACGAGAGGTGATTCCAAACCCGTCTCCACGTGGCTCTCCTCCCCAGGATGCACTCTTCTCCGGGGGAGGGCGGCCCCCAGGGGGCCCGAGGCCGGCATTCAGCACCAGCCGGCTCCCGCCCACGGCCTCTGTGGTCGCCAGACACGCGTGGGTGAGCCTGCTCTCCTGCCAGGGGCGTGAACGTTTGTTCGGCAACAATGTAAATCCAGCTCAGGTTTGGGGTCTCCTCTTTCTGTAGCTTTTGGGCTCTCCTTTATTCTTCTCCTAAATACTGACTTCGGTGCGCTGTCACATGCGGTTACTGGGATCACAGATTGTTAGAGGTGGAAAGAGACCTCAAATATCATCGGGCTAATTATGCTCAGTGGACAGAGCTATGCATCCATGAGGGTCCTTTGGTTGTAAATAGCAGAATCCAACTTGAGTATCTTAAACAAAACCCACTTCGTTGTGGGGTATTCGGTGGAGAGAACTAGAGTAGACGCTGACCGGCCAGGCTGTGAGAAGGAGCAGGGCGCCCCCCGGGGCCCGGGGTGGCAGGAGGCGGCAGGCGGCCTCCCTCGGGGTCACTGTGTGCGGGAACCGTGCCGAGTCCCTGCGACAAGGCTGGAAGTCACCTGCAGAGAGAGCCCAGGTCGAGCGGCTTGAGGGCTCGCCCTCCGGCCAGGTGTGGACAGGGCCCTGCTCCGACAGCCCCTCCGAGACCCCTTCTTGTGGGGAAGGCGTCCCTTCCTGCGGGACAACGGGGCGCAGGAAGGAGGTGACGCGGGGCATTTAAAACATTGCTCCCTGGAGAAATGTTAGTTCAGAGAAGGGAAGGACTGTGCGTTGAGAAAGTGCATGCACTGTGTTCAAAATGCCCCCTGTTCGGGGAATAAAGCTACAGGAAGGAAAATTCACTCCACTCTTTTTGGCTGGCGGGGATGTGCTGAGAAAGAATTTGGGGGCGTGGAGGGAGAAAGGAAAGGTGGGACACGGCGCGGGGGTCAGGGCCCGTATTTCACTTGTAGCGGGAGGTGGACCCTGGAGGTCAGGCGGCCGAGGGGCTCCCCAGGCTCCACAGACACCGCTCGGTGACCCAGGGCGCCCGCCGCGGCCCCGCAGCAACCAAGGGCGGCTGCCCATGCGTCTGGGAGACGGCCGTTTGGAGGGCGTGACTGCAGAGAGAGGGAAGGAGGCAGCCGCTCGTGGGCAGAGGCTGAGACGGCCAGACCTTTGTCCCTTCACCGTGGAACAGAGTCTGGCACGTGCCTGCCAGGCAGTGCCCTGGGCTGTGGGGTGACACGTGAGCCAGGTGCTCAGGGCCCTGGCGCTCAGGGAGCCCGCAGTCCCACCGTGACCAGAGACACCCAGCAAAGAGCCATCCCAGTGAAAATAAAACCCCAAATGCGAGAACCGCTTGGGAGAGAGGTGGGGGTGCAGGGGGAGCATGAATAAGGGCCTGAGCAGAGTCAGACCAGCGTGGGCGCCTTCCCAGGGCACAAGCGACGGAGCGTGGAGCTGGAGGAGGAGGAGGAGGTCAGGAGGGGAGGGGACGCGTGCGGGGAGGAGCGCGGGGGGACCCACAGCGGGACCAGGAGGCCAGTGCAGGGCTGGGGGAGGCCCCATGCAGGCAGCGCGGGGATGCCTCCTGGGGGCCACGGGCTGTCGGGCCTCCCCAGAGAGGAAAGCCCTCCCGTGTCCCATTCGCGGGCCGTATTCAGACCATGGAGCTGATGCCCCTGCTCGCTGTGAGGGGACCCTGGTTCCAGGCAGCAGTTGTGGCTTCCGGGAGGGCGACTGGCCTGCCCTGGGGCCCTTGCCCACGTGGAGGTGGGAGGTGGGAGGAGGGGCCCCAGTGTTGGGCACCCCGAGGCCTGGGGAAGGTTTCACGTTGAGCCGGTGCTGCTGGGACAGCCATGGGCCAGGGTGCTCTGAGCACGTCTGAGCTAGACGTTGCGCTTGGTTCTGCTCCCAGGCTTTGGGGCTCACATGAAAACAGCGCATCCTGGTGGATAGTGTCAGAAGGGCCCCAGGCGGGGGCGTGCGTGAGCAGGTGTGAGTGCGTGTATGAGAGTGTGTGTGTGTGTCCAGGGGAGGCGCCCGTTTCTCCTCTTCGGCCCCAAGCACCTTCTCTGGCCCTCCGTCTCCCCGGCACGAGCAAGCTCTCCACCTGCTCCCCGCTTTTGCGAGCCTGCCCCCTCGTCTCCGAGGGCTCACCTTCCCAGGCTGGCCGCCGAGAGGGACGCAGCCTTCCTGGTCCTTCTTCACTCTGCCCTGTTCCAGTAAACAGGCATCTTAAGGGCTTTCTGATGGGAAACAGATGGGAGAACAATGTAATGAAAATGTGTGAATCATCTAAAAAAATATTTCAGCATTTCGCCAGCCACAGTGTGATTCCCAACACCTCCTGACAGGGCAATTACAAAGCTCTTCAATTCTCTGCCGTTCTCATCCCCGGCTTCCCACTTTGCTTGTAACTGCCCATCCCCCGGGTTTAAACGGCAGCCCTGTTAACTGGGACCGACAGTTCGTAGCTCCCCGTGACGTGCCGCGCTCTCACGACCCGCCTTGTCCCAGGAGTCCAGCGGCCACAGGTGGCGAGGGGCTGTCTTTGACGGCACAGGACCGCGCGTGGCCGTCATGTCGGTGCTGGTGAGGGTGCCGGTGCAGGCCAGGGCGCCTGCCGTGGGCCCGTGGGAGCGGGACGCGCACTCTCAGCTGTCCAGCCCCGCGGCCCGCGTGTCCCCGCTCCGCACAGGCCCCGGCCCAGCGTCTCCGCACACAGCTGGCCGCACTGTGGGAGGCAACCAGGGGCTCTCGGCTTTAAATCTGCTTCCCTGGGACCTGCCAGCCGAGCCCCCCGGCTTGTGCTCAGCGTCTGAGAGGGCACCCCTGGCCCGCCCTGCGGACGCACTGGCCCTGTGAGGCCCGAGCCGCAGGACGTGTGTGTCTCTCTCCCACTGCAGGGCCTGTGATGTTCCACCTTCTCTAGGCCCAAGCGGCTGGTCCTGTCCTCGTCCCAGGGAGAGGGCTGGGGAGGGGCCCAGGCGGACAGGGCGGGTGCGGGGAGGCAGGTCGGTGTTCGAAGCCCCTCTGCCTCCCAGCCCCCACAGCCCACCCCCAAACCTTGCCCAGGCTCGTGGCCCTTCTGGATCGTTGGGGACAAATCTGGCCACGTCTGCTGTCCCTGCTGAGCCTCCACCATGGGAGCTGTGAGGAGGAAGGCAGGGCGGAGGCCGGAAGCTGGGGAGCACAGCTTCCCCGGGACAGCTGCCTGGGCGTGGCCTGGGAACCAAGCGAGCGGCAGATAAACCGCCCCACGGTTTCACACGGGCCCTCACAGGGGCTACGTCGTCAGGGGACAAGGGGGCGGCAGACATAGGCTCACAGCTCTCCGACGCGCCTGCTCACAGGGGTCTGAGAATCGCAGTGCCCACCCGCCTGAAGTCACTCCTGCCCCCGGCCCGCTTCCCCCGGGGAACCAAGAACACGTCTAATTTGAGGTCATTACAGGCGTGCAGCTAGTGGCCGGGGCCCTGGTTCCAGCCGTCCCTTGAGGATAGTCCCAGCGACAGCTGTGTGCGTCCCCTCTGCCCTGTGCCCTGTGCCCTGGGCCGGGGCCGCCCTGGGCACATTCTGTGCGTTAGCTCGGTTACCAGCCCTGTTGAGATACGTGCTGTTATTATTTCCATGTTAGAGGTGAGGAGCCTGCGGGTCAGGGACTCGGGGCTGCAGTCTGATTCTGGATCTTTCCCCGACAGCCGGGCCCCAGAGTCACAGTGCAGCCCCGTTATCCTGCCTCTCCAGTCCTGTTTGAGACGGGTCCCCGAGGAGGGCCCTCCGGCCGCCTCTGGTCAGTCTCCGTCTTGGACGGCATAGTTTAAGGGGGACGCCGACATCGCGAGAAGCCCCCTGAGCCCGCAGTGTGCGTGCTCCGAGGCCGGGCGGGAAGCCCGGGGACCGGGGCCTGGGCTCCTGGCGGCCGAGCACTGCGGCGCACGGGGACCAAAGGCGGATGCTGGGGGTGGGGAAGCCCTCGCCGAGGAGCTGCCGGAGCTCGGTCTGGACAGACAAGGCGGTTGCCACGTGGACTGGGGGGAGCGGCTCAGAGACGCTCGGAGAAATACAACAGCAAAGGCTTACGCCGGGAACAGTGGGTCAGGGAAGGGAAGGGAGCCTGGGCTGGAGGCCACCTGCTCGCTACGCTCCTAACAGGGGGGGCCTGCCGCCCGGCCTTAAAACTGCAGGGACATGTGACCCTGCGACCCTGCGCAGAAGGTGCAGGGGCGCCGCGGTACAGGCGGGGCCCAGCGTTCTGCAGAGCCGGCTCGTTTCGGACGCCCCTCTCGTGGGTGTCAGGCCTCGGTGAAACCGAAGGCCTGGCGGCCCCGCCCGGTGCGCCCCCCACGGACCCTGCCTTTGGCCGGGGGCACAGACCTTGGCCTCTGAGTCTTAGGATAAGAGTACATTACAGTAAATAGGCTTTCTGAAGTTAATATTTTAAGTACCTATGCCTTTTTTTGAGAACTCTGCCAGTAGGCTGAACAGTGGCCCCAAAGATGTCCACATCCTCATCCTCAGGGCCTGTGTGCATTACCCGACTCGGCAGAAGGGACCTTGTGTGCTGAGGTCCAGGCTGTGAGACAGGTGACTCTGTGGGATCACCTGCTGGGCCTGGTGGGATCACAAAGGACAGGGGAGGGTCAGAGTCGGGAGCAGGCGGGGTAGTGACAGAGCAGACGGCAGTGATACCCTTGCAGACAGAGGAGCACAGGTGCCATTAGAATCTGAAAAAGGCCGGGACGGCTGAGCCTCGCGGGGGCCCGGCCCCGCTGGCCCCCGTGCCTGCTGGCCCAGTGAGGCCGCTCCTGGGCTTCTGACCTCCAGGGCTACAGGGAAAGAAATGGCTGTTGTTTTAAGCCACAAGTTTGTGGTAATTTGCTACAGCGGCCCTAGCAAGCTGATACTGATTCCAAAGGGGATGTTTTCTTAGCTTTGCCAAGAGCCAGGTTTACTTCTTTGAACTAAGATGCTTCAAAGAAACCACCTCCCTGAGACTGCAGAATTCCAGAACAATCAACATCCTCGGAAGTGCTGCAGACCCAGCGCAGAGGGTGTGCCGGCTGCAGCGCGGGGCGGGGGGCGGGGGGGCCCGCTCTTCCCTGGCTCAGAGGGCAGGGCGGGGTCGCTGTGGGGGGCAGGTCAAAGCTGCTCAGGGCTCCTGGTGACTGCGGCCACTGCATGTGGTTACCGTGTCATGGGGCTGAATGGCGTGTGTGCTCTGTGGCTCAAGTCAAGGGCACAGTGAAAGCAACATGGTGTCTGTGCTGTGGTTCCGGCCGCAAACCCACACAAGAGATTGCTGCTCCTTGTAGCGCCGCCCTCAGCTGGAGGGGAAGGTGCGCGACAGCCGGGCCGGCCGTCCCAGGGAGGAGCCGAGCGCAGGCTGGCCGAGATTTCTCTGTTCCGGAAGGCAAGGTTTGGGATCGCTGTGGAGGCAGAACTTGGGGCCGAAAATCAAAGGCGGTTCAAAGGTTCCAAACTCTGGTCACCCGGGATGGGGCTTCGGGTCAGTGGTCCAAGGGACAACGCATCGTCTGCTCCACCGCCAGAGGGCGGGAGCGAGGTGGCGGGCGGGCAGCGCCAGCGGGGCGAGATCTCTCCGCCACTGTGCCGAGCGGCACGCAGAGGCACCCAGCGCCCGGCCACCGTGCCGGCCACGGCAGTGCCGACCCGGCTCTTTCCAGAAAGCCCGGACATGAGGCTGGAGGCAGTCGGCCACCGAGCTGCTCACTGTCACAGGACACAGCCTCGCTCTGTGTCGCTGCAGTGCTGGCTGGCTGGCCGGCCGGGGCGTGAGCTCTGTGCGGCCATCGCCGCCCAGATGTCCTCGCTCTCGTTGCTGTGCCACCCCCAGGGCACGGTCCGCGCTGCCTGGGTGAGGCTGGACCACCCCCACATGTCCACGTTCCCGCCCCAGGAACAGAGCGAGAGCAGGGCCCCTGAGGGGCACGCGCCACGTCTGCCCACCCTGTGAGCACACCCGCTGCGGGGAGCCTGGGGCAGGTGCCCCCTGGGAGCTGTGGGCCCACCTAAAGTGCAGGGAATCTTAGCGCCACAAGCAAAAGAGGGGACAGATCCTGGGGGACACAGAGTTGTTTCTGCCACAGGCTTCAGAGCTAAGCATGCGTGGCTGTGAATCCTCCCTCTCCGTTCAGGCAAGTAAACTTCACCTCCCTAGCTTCGTGCCTCCGTGCACGCAGGCCCCGGGGAGGCCTACGCAGGAGCTGTGGAGGCAGCTGGCAGGGGCCGGGGGACAGTGGGCACAGGCAGCCCCTCGGAGCTCCCCATTTCCCCCCTCTCTGCCCCAGGGAAACCTATGTACCTGCACATCGGGGAGGAGATCGATGGTGTGGACATGCGGGCCGAGGTCGGGCTGCTGACCCGCAACATCGTGGTCATGGGGGAGATGGAGGACAGGTGCTACCCCTACAACAACCACATCTGCAGCTTCTTTGACTTCGATACCTTTGGGGGTCACATCAAGGTAGGGGTCTGCCTGGCTGAGGCCATAAGCCCAACCAGGAGAATTCCCCCCATGCCAGCCTGTGGGTGGGATTCTTGGTAGCGAAGGGGACGCAGGGGCAGGACCGGGGACCAAGGCCAGGGAACCTGTGGACGTTGGAGAAAGCTCCTGTGTCGCCCACGGGCGCGCTGTCCCTCCCATCAGTCCTTGGGAGCAGGCAAGTCCGTGAGCCGACCCGGGGGCGGCTCCTGCGCCCCGGTCACACCCGTCACCCCGCACCCCCGCCTTCCCGGTCTTCAGCCCCACTCATGGCCCTCATTCCCCTTCGTCGTAACTCAGTCCTGACCCCTCCCTGATAGAACCGACTGACATGCGACTCACAGAAAGTCATGTCATGTGCGCGGGAACCGCTGAGACGCAGGTCAGTGGTGAGCGGGGGAGCCAGAGGCTCTGGCGCCGACTTAGCCTGAGCGTCAGGGCAGCGAGTCTGGCAGCCGCCGAGAGGAGGAGCTGCAGGCGGGGGTGGGGGGCATAGCGGGGCCCGAGCGCGCGTGCTCTCAGCCTTCCGCTCCCAGAGGCATTTCACTGGCGTTGCTACATAAAGCCCCTTCCTTACCTGGGATGTTGGGGAGCATAAGACACCCCAAGCCCTTCATGTGGCTTTGCCCCCAGCGGTGGGAGCAACGCTGACAGTAATAGCGTATCCTGGAGAGCTAAATTCATACGCTTTAAGGATAAGGCTTTTTGGTAAATGACTTAAGAAGGATGGGGTGAAACTTACGGAGTTCACAGTGGGGACCCTCATAGCATGTCGGGGACACAGCATTTGGTTGTGCAGGCCTATGTTACAGGGTTCCCAGCATCCCTGGTCTGTGGCATAATTCAGTGCCCTTTCACCCCCGAACCCACTCCTGCGCAGTTCCCTCCCTCGTCACCGTCAGCGGCTGCAGAGGCTGGGAACGGGGATGGACGTGAGCCCGTCTTGCTGCGCCCCTCCCTTGCAGGGCCACTGCCTGGCCACACCCCTGGGGCATTAACAGCACTTTGTCTCCTCAGGGTAGGAAGGGCCAGGCGTCTTAACCCGTTTGCAGAGGCCACCGTTGGCTTACCTGGGGGGGGCGGTCACCAGAGCGCTTCGAGGGTGATGGAATGTGGGCGGCAGTGAGGGGCTGGGGGACGCCTCACGGGCTCCTTCCGCCTCTCCTTCCCCAGTTTGCGCTGGGGTTTAGGGCAGCGCATCTGGAGGGCGTGGAGCTGAAGCACATGGGGCAGCAGCTGCTGGGCCAGTACCCGATTCACTTCCACCTGGCCGGCGACGTGGACGAACAGGGTGGCTACGACCCCCCCACATACGTCCGGGACCTGTCCATCCACCACACCTTCTCTCGCTGCGTCACCGTCCACGGCTCCAATGGCTTGTTGGTGAGTGCCTCCTTCCCAGGAAGAAGGGTCCAGGGGGCCATCGCCCCCTCTTGCCGTGCTGGCCTGCTCGCTGCTGGGCCAAGGGCCGTGGCTGCTGAAGGGTGTCTGCCCCCAGTCGCATACCTGGGGCCGTCGAGGGTGAGCCCGCCTCACCTCGGGTTTTAGAGGGACCCAGACTGACAGCAGGCTGCCAGCCAAAGAGAAGGAGAAAGCTGGGCTGTCTCCTCGCCGGGAGCACCAGACACAGAGTGCGGTGGTCCCTGGGAGTCCGCGTGCAGGGGCGAGGATCGCTCCGTGGCCGTGAGACGTGGCAGGTCTGCTGGCTGCAGACGGGGGGCCGTGGCCGACTGGCTGAGCCGGCGGCGGCAGGGCGTCCTTTGCCCCGGGTGGGCCAAGTGTCCATCAGGGCAGGTGCTGGGGGAGAAACGCCCTCACGAGCAAACTGGTGTCTGTGTCAGAGGCTTGTCTTGATGTGCACAGGTAATTCTTACACTAAGTTCATTCTTCCTTAAACGAACTCGTATTTCCTATAAATGTTGCAAATTAGACAGGACAACATGGTGCCCTGCGAGCCGACTCCAGCCTGTGTTTGGTTTGGCTTGTGTGGTGTTGAGAGAAACATTTGATCGTTTTTACACTCAACTGATAATTTTACACTAAATTGAACTTCCTTTAAATGGTCTGAACTTATACCCTGTATGAACTTTAAAGCCGGACGTCACAAAATGCCACCCTGAGAGCCGAATCCAGCTACCAGATGTGTTTTGTTTGGCTTCAAGACTGTTTAAAGAAACATTCAAATTTGTTTCTATCATTTAAAAATTAGGAGATTTCACATAAAGTCTGGATTTTTGGCTTCTCTTGAGAAGTGAGCTGGGTTGGCAGCACCGGACCCACTTCGCTGCCTGGTGAAATTCGCCGTGGCCCCACTGCGCGGCTGTGTCCCCGGAGGCCCCTTGCCCTCTGCTCCCGCGAGCACTTCAGGAAGCACCAGGCCGGCGCCGTCAGGTGCACTTGTGTCTGTGACTCTGGCTTTAAACCGAACCGAGCGAACCTCCCCGCCAGGCATGTGATGAAGGGACGATGAAGAGGCCCGTCAGCATGTCGCTGGGGGAGCCACTTTCGCATCTGTTCGATGTGCCGGTCTGGCACAGGAGAGCCCGCCGTCTCTGTGACTCACGTGCTGGGACTGGGGGCCCCGCTGGGCACAGAGCAGAGAGGGTGGCTTCAGGGCCCCAACCAGAAAGGCCTGGGTTCCAGGCCCGGTCCACAGGGTGTGAGCCGCTGGACCTTGGGCACGCGACCCTCGGTCCCCTGCTCAGTCAGGCGAGGAAGGACACCAAACACACAGGCTGGGAGGTGCCGCGCACGAGGGAGCCCCGAGCCCCGGGCCCGCCCGCAGGGCCCACACAGACGTGCGGGCTGGGAACCAGAGCCCGCTCTGCCCGCGGGTGGTGAGGGGCCGGGCTGGGGCAGCGGCGGGAAGACGTGGGGCTTGTTTCTGGCTGACGGAAGCAGCAAAGGAGAATGACTGCTGGGGCAGCGGAGGGACGGCAGGAACAACAGCAAGTGCAGACCCTCGGGAGCAGCAGAGGATGCGGCGTGAGCCGGAACCCTGCCCCCACTGGTCCTGCCCGGCTCCAGCGGTGCGGCCTGGGGCGGCCGGGTGCGCGTGGCCTGGGGCAGGCCTGGGGCAGCGTCCGGCCGCACTGCACTGCGCTGAATGAGCACGCGCAGGGGGCCGCAGGCGCTCTCGCCCCGGTGGGCGCTGAGCCTCAGACCATGTGGTGGGGAAGGGCCGTGGACTTGCCTAAGGAAGGCCTGGCTCTTCGGAGCTTGACCTGTTCTGAGCATTTATTCTAAAGGTTTGTCCGTAGATTTGGCTTCACATCACCTACATCTACCTTCACCGAAGGGGCACAAGTCCCTCCTGCTCTCGGCCCCAAGGGATTCTGGCCAGCAGGTGGGGAGTGAACATCCATCAGCTCTGGGGGCGTCATGTGCCAGCCCTTTCACCCCCACCTGTGTACATGGCAGGAAGGCCGGTGCCCTATCCCCAGCCCCAGAGCTCTGGGGACTGTGGGAGAGGCTTCTGTTTTACCCAGTTTCTTGCTTCGCAGTTCACCCCACTGCTCTCATGTCTCCTTCCCACGGGGGCTCGAGTGAGGAACCTCGACTCTTGTCCTTGGTGTCCCACACGCCTCACCAGCCAGGGCTTCCAGGGGCAGGTTGGGGCGAGAGACGGGAGGAGGCCCTCTTCCTAGCTGCCCTCCCCCCACCCTCTGGGCGGCCTCCCAGAGGCACTGGGCTCCTTATTAGGCAGAGAGGGATCTGGTTCTGCATTCTCCCCCAGCTTCTGTTTTCATGTTCAGACCCTCCCGAAGACACTCTGCAAAACAAATGACCACCTGCTGCCGGGTCTTGTCTTTATGAGCTCCAGGAAGGGGAAAATAAATGGCAGGCGCTCAGGAATTACAGCCTCCCTTCTCCAGGAGCTCATTAGTCATCGGGTTTCCCAGGGATAGGAACTGTGCCCACCCGGGGGGCAGAGACAGCGCTCGCGTGTTCCTCTTTGCCTTCGTTTGGAACAGCCCTCTCTCCTCCTTGCTGTGGACGGGCTGGTGGTGGCGGTCCTTAGGGAGGTGGCCCTGCGTCCTGCTGTGCACAGAGCGGTCCCCTCCCGGCCCGCCTTCCCAGCTTCGTCGCCGAGAGCATCCGTTTTCACTCTCAGGAGTATCCTGGTTCACCCAACAAACGACCGGGCGCCCCAGTTGAAAACGTCCCTGCGAGCTGAGGGATTTTCTCCTCCGCCGTCTCCGGGGGAGGCTGACAGCAGGTGGAGGCTGACAGCAGGTGAAGGCTTACAGCAGATTTCCGGGATCCGCTTCGTGGCTGCCGCCCTGCACCAGGGCGCTGACCGGGAGAAAGGGAGAACCGCAGCCCGTGCAAGAGGGCGGCAGAGGCGTTGCCCGCTGCCTGCGGCCAGCCTGCCCGGGGACGTGGTGTTCACCTGCACGTCCGAACGCAGGTGTCTGTGTATCAGCTTCTGCCTACCTACCTGTCTAGCTTTTCACTCACCTGCCTCTCTGCCTGTGTATTCTCTGTCTACCGACTTACCTGTCCCCCTCTGTCAGGCTGTGTCGCAGTTTAGTATTTAGTGATGGGAGATGTTCTCGGGAAGAACAGGGGCAGAGTGTGAGCGCTGGAAGGGGCTCCAGAGGTCGCCCTGCGGCAGGCGCGCTCTCGGGGGAGTCACACAGCAAGCGCGGGCCGCGCGGGACTCGGGTGTGTCTCCTGCCCCCAGCCTGGGGCTTTCCTCTGCCGCGCCCTGCTCCTGTCCCTGCTCCTGTCCCTGCTCCTGTCCCTGCTCCCTGCACTGTGCTCCTGTCCCTGCTCCCTGCGCCCTGCTCCTGTCCCTGCTCCCTGCGCCCTGCTCCTGTCCCTGCTCCTGTCCCTGCTCCCTGCGCTGTGCTCCTGTCCCTGCTCCTGTCCCTGCTCTTGTCCCTGCTCCCTGCGCCGTGCTCCTGTCCCTGCTCCTGTCCCTGCTCCCTGTGCCCTGCTCCTGTCCCTGCTCCTGTCCCTGCTCCCTGCTCCCTGCTCCTGTCCCTGCTCCTGTCCCTGCTCCCTGCTCCTGTCCCTGCTCCCTGCTCCCTGCTCCTGTGCCCTGCTCCTGTCCCTGCTCCTGTCCCTGCTCCCTGCTCCCTGCGCCGTGCTCCTGTCCCTGCTCCTGTCCCTGCTCCTGTCCCTGCTCCCTGCTCCCTGCTCCTGTCCCTGCTCCTGTCCCTGCTCCCTGCGCCGTGCTCCCCCCGGCCTGACGAGAAGGGCTTCGTTTCGCCTTTGCCTCTGCTGCTGGGCGTGGGTGAGTTACAAGTAACGCGCCCGACAGGTGGAAGATCGCGTCCCAGCGCCGTCCTTGCCAGGCACGGACTCGGGGCGACCGGCTGGGCCTCCGTGTCGTCTGCGGGGAGGGAGGGGGAGCGGTGACAAAGGGTGCGTGAGACAGTGAGTGGGGAGCATCTGACACCAGGAGGCAGCAGCTACTCTCCCTTTCGGTGAGGACTTCTCTCCACAGCACATCTCAAGGGCCTTGGGGGCGTCCCCTTCTCGGGCGTCTGTCAGAGTAAGAATGTACCTAATCCATTCGTCACGTGTTCAAAGAAGTGTCACCCAAAGTATGACCCCGAAGGCGGGCAGAGGGCGCCCACGGCCTGAAAGGGGTGGTGGGCAGGAGGCGAGAGGCCTGGGTCTGAGCAGGGCTGTGCCCCGCAAGGCCGAGGCGGGCCCTGGGCCACCCCAGTCCCTTCTCAGTGCGGCAGAGGCGCCGGGCTTGCTCTCCGGCGTCCCTGCTGACTCGAGCAGCCCTGCTCTCCCGGCCCTTCCTCCCACGCTTGCCGGTCCAGGCGATTCGTGACCCACTGGCCCGGCTCACCAGGAGGAGCGCAGGCAGCTCCATGGCACTGCTGCACGAAACGCTCGCTAGGGGACTGAACGGGGTGGAGAGCCCGCCCCGGCCTGGTGCCAGAGGCTACGGCCGACGGGCTCGTGTGCCAGCCAGAGCTTGCCTGTGCGCCGGGCCCTCCCTGCGGGGGCCTGTGGTCCCAGCCCCGGCTGGCGTCATGGGCCGGATGTCCTTGGGCAAATCACGTAACTTCTTTGAGCCTCATTTTTCTCATCTCTGAAAAAAAATTACCATGGGACGGGGTAGGACTTACGCCATTCAATGAAAAGGCGTGCGAGCCCAGCGCGGGGCTGGGCCACGCAGGGCCTTTGTCCTGGCGCCCCCAGAGCATGGCGGCCTGGGGGTGGCGGGCAGGGAAGAGCGGGCGTCTGCCGCCTATTCCCTCTTCTGGCGGCAAGCCGGGGGCTGCAGGTGTGCGCTGTGGGCCGTGAGGCAGGCTGGCTTCGTGGGTGAGGGCCTGGCTGCGCTCCGAGGCCGCACACAGCTAGCTCTCCCCTCAGCGCCTCCCCGGGGGGACCTCTGTGCGTGACCCTCCGCCTGAGGGCCTGCAGAACACGATCTCGCTGCGTCCTCGCCAGAGGAGGCTCACGTGACCTGGTCTCCTGCCCCGACGGGACCCACTTCTAACATTTTACCCCTGTCCCACCCCGTGGAGCCTCGGCCGCAACCCCTCCAGCTGGAAGGGGCTTTGAAGCCACCTCTTTGCCCCCTGCCGGGCCCTCCCCAGCTCCACACCTGTGTCCGGTCCGTCTCCAAACCCCCAGTGCCCCTCACGGGGCCAGGGGTGCGGCTGGCGCAGTGTGGTGTGTGTTGGATGAATGGGGGAGCCCGTGAATAACTGGAATGTCCCCCTCTCTGGACCCCTGTAGGTCAAGGACGTCGTGGGCTATAACTCCCTGGGCCACTGCTTCTTCACGGAGGACGGGCCCGAGGAGCGCAACACCTTCGACCACTGTCTCGGCCTCCTCGTCAAGTCCGGGACCCTCCTGCCCTCCGACCGCGACAGCAGGATGTGCAAGACGATCACCGAGGACTCGTACCCGGGCTACATCCCCAAGCCCAGGCAGGACTGCAAGTAGGCGCCCCTCCACGCCACGCCGGGCCCCTGCCTTCTGGCCGGGGCTGGGCCCCACACCCGGGCTCTGAGCAGCTGGAACCCCCAGCCCCAAACCACCTGCTGCCCAGAGGGGAGGTGGGTTTCCCTTCTCGGGTGCCCTGTGTGCATCCTTCGTCTAAAGAGAACCATGGCTCGCGCCCTCTGGCTTTTCCTGCTGCGAGGGAGTGCGCTCTCTGCAGAGAGCGGTCTGCCCCCGGCTCCCCACGTGTGCACGTCAGCACGAGCCGCACCGGCCACTTACAGACGCGAGAGGCAGAGCTTCCTGTGCGGCCCACCTTTAGAAACGGCTGCCTTTCAGGGTTCTCCTGACTGGGGTTTATTTTAGGGTCCATCTTGGGCTTCAAAGAGCCACACCCGTGTCAAATTCTGAACATTTTAAGTGTTTTAGTGCACCCTTCTCCAGTGAGAAAACTGGGTGTCAGACCAAAAAAGTCCACAGCTCCCCAGTCTCCAGAGGCGTTAGGAGGCGATGTCAGGGAGCCCTGCGGCGGCGCGGAGCCGGGGGCCGCTGTCTGACGCCTCCCATCCCCCACCCGCAGTGCTGTGTCCACCTTCTGGATGGCCAACCCCAACAACAACCTCGTGGACTGCGCTGCTGCGGGGTCCGAGGTGAGCCGGGCTCTCGCTTCTTCGGAGGACATTAAGGGGGGGGGGCCAGGGATTCAGAGTGGCCGGGGACAACCCTGAAGTCAGGGAGCTCCGAACCCCAGCTCGGGGCGGGATGGGCAGGTCTTCGGCGAGGGCTGTGCCTTCGTCGCACCGAGGACAGGGCTCGTTATGTGCGATGACTCATCGCTGGGTGGAAATCGGGGTCAGCACCGTGCCTGGCACGGCAGCGTTCTAATGAGCTAACGTCACGGGATCCTTACCCTAACCCGCACCGTTGGGTGGGCGAGGACTCGGGCCAGGGGCGCTCACGGGACACACACGGCCTGGCTCTCACCCACCCCCGCCTGTGGCCCCCCCGGGGGGCGCCGAGCAGGGCGGCTGTGCCCCCAGGCTGCAGCGTGCACGTCTCAGCCTGGAAGGGAGAAACCGGGGACAGGCACGGGGCGCCCCGTGAGGGGCCAGGCGGAGAGGACGCCGAAACCCGGCCGCGTGGAGCCCGTGGCCGGCAGTCGGGCTGGACGGGGGCTTTTCGCAGTCAGGGTGGCCCCGAAAGCGCATCGGCTTCCCGCCCCTCGCCCTGTCCCGGGAGCCGGGGGAGGCCTGGGGCCACGTGGGCCCCCCGACGGGCAGCGGGCTGGCGCTGAGGCCTGTGGCGTCTGTGTCCCCCCACCTAGGAAACTGGATTTTGGTTCATTTTCCACCACGTGCCAACGGGCCCCTCGGCGGGCATGTACTCCCCGGGCTACTCGGAGCACATCCCCCTGGGCAAGTTCCACAACAACCGAGCACATTCTAACTACCGCGTGAGTGTTCCTGGGCACCCCAGTCGGGCAGCGCCGAGACCAGGGTCATGGGGACGGGAACGGGGCAGGGACGCCGCGCTGGGGCAGAAGCCGTCTTGGGACGCAGGGGCCCTGCGTGCAGACCGCCCTGGACGTCCGGGCCGGTCCTCTGCGCCAATCCCAAGTGGTGCAGGAGAGTGAACGGAGGCCCCCAGAAGAGAGAGGACACAGTCTGCGTCAAAAAGCAGCCAGGGAGTTGACCAAACGGGAGAGACCTCTTCTCGAATGACCCGAGCTTCACCAGGGGGTGGCCTGTGAGCCGGACTGGGCTGGGTGGGCCGACAGAGGACCCCGGGCAGGGTCACATCCCAGGAGCCAAGAAAGAAGATGGGTTGCCGGGCAGGAGGCAGAGGGCGGAGGGGCATTTGCGTGTCTGTTGTGGACCAGGGCGGGGGGGGGGGCTGCCTCCCTGCCATACAGCTGTGGGGGTGGGGATACTGTACTGGCCAGTTGTCAGACCCTCGGGGACCGTCCCCTGAGGGGCTGGTGAGCTGTGTTGGACCTGGGTGTTTGGAAAGATGGGAACAGGCCAGGACACATGGGGAGGGTGGTTTCCTACAGGAATTAGGCCAGGGTCGCGGGCACAGGCAGAGGGACGGCCTTGGGGACGGCGGCAGGGGAGAGGAGGGGAGAGGAGGCTGGAGCTGGAGGGGCCGGCTGTCCGTGCGAGGGAGGCTCTGAGCTTAGCGTTCAGCCCGGGGAGCCGCACCCCCCCCCCCCCCCCCCCGCGCACGAGCGGGGCCCCGCCCAGGGCTCTTCCCCTGGGCGACGGCGGGGACACTCACAGCCCGTCCCAGAGGCGACAGCCGAGCCTGAGGGATAAGGGGGCTTCACGTCCTGGCTCGCGAGAGAGGGGCCTGGAGTCCAGCCTCACAGCTGATTCACAGCACAGGGGCTTCGCCGGAGGCCACGTGGCAGATGCAGTGGCTGGAGTGACCTCCAGTGATCCAAACAGGAGAACCTGTGTTGGTGCACTCCTGAGACGGCAAGGGAATCTGGGGAGGAAGGGGTGGGGCTCTCCGGGCAGCACCCCCAGCTGCCCTGGCTCCCACTCACCATGGCTGACGGGGGGGTGCACCCTGGAGCCACATAGGAAAGTGAGGCTCTCTTCTCAAGTCAGGTAGGATCCGAGGCAAGGCCCCGGGAGGGCCGCAGGCCTCTGCCCCCAGGTGGAGACGAGACCTGGGCTCAGCGTTTCCTTTAAATCGCTGCAGACACTTTCCCCAGGAAAGCGGCATCTTCTTCCTTGACTTGGGTCCAGAAGCAGTGTGCATGCTGGGCGCAGGGGCTTAGCCGAGTGGCTTTGGGCAAGGTCCTTAGCCCCTGCAAACCTCAGCTGCCCCCTCTGTACCTCCAAGAGGACACCCCACTTCAATCTGACCCGTGCAGGGCGGCTCCCCTCCCCCACTGCAGAGCCCCACCTCCATGAGTGCATCCTGAGAGCAAAGCTGGTTTTCCTGAGGCTTTTAAGACAGTGCAGTGAGGAGGGGGGTGAGAAGATGCCTGGCCTGCAGCGGAAGCCAGCACGTCCCTGTCCCTCCCCAGGCTGGCATGATCATAGACAATGGCGTCAAGACGACCGAGGCCTCCGCCAAGGACAAGCGGCCCTTCCTCTCTATCATCTCTGCCAGGTAATCAAGCCTCGGGACCCCTTGAGTAAGCCCCATTCATTCACGCATTCCTCCGAGCTTTCCTTGGGCTTTGACCGGCCTAGGGCGTGGAGTGCTCCTCAGTGCTGCTGAGAACAAAATAGGTGACGTGTCTGTCACCTGCATGGGGCTGGGCCTGCTGCTTCTGCTTCAAGCTCAGAAAGTTCATTCCTGAACCACAATAAGGGACGAAGCGGTGCTTCGTCAGAGTGCCATGGGCACCATGAGCAGAGAGATGCTCACAGCCCAGAAGGGGCTCCGCTCGGGAGCCCCCGCACTGACCGCGGAGCCCGCCCCACGCTGTGCTGCAGGTACAGCCCTCACCAGGACGCCGACCCGCTGAAGCCCCGGGAGCCGGCCATCATCCGGCACTTCACCGCCTACAAGAACCAGGACCACGGGGCCTGGCTGCGCGGCGGGGACGTGTGGCTGGACAGCTGCCGGTGAGTCGGGGCCATGTGGCCTTGGCCCAAAGTGGGGCGGCACTCTGGGCGGTGGGGAGCAGAGCACGACTGGCCGGGCACGCGATGTACTGACGCTTGGTCTTCCGGTCCCCCAGCAGGCACAGGCTTAGAACGGCAGCAGGCAGTGGCCCCTGCACCCCTAGACACAGCTGCGGCCCGCAGAGCCGGGGGCTGTGGGTGGTGACTCGTCTCCAGGCGGTCGCCGGGCTCTCCTAGGCCTGTGAGCGGCAGGAGGGAGGAGCCAGCCCGAGTTCGGCACCGACCCTGTGCTGGGCCCTGGGTTGCCTCCGTGCCTTCCCATGACTCTCAAAGACAGACCCTGTCGTCGCTGTCTCAGAGGTGGTCTCCTGCGGGGCGGTTTAGTGAATTTCCCTCACTAGTAAGGGGTGGGCCTCGGACTTGATACGTCAGCCGCTGGGCTGCAGGGCCCGAGGGAGAGGTGAGCTGTGGGGCGCAGTCCCTGCGGACGGCCACGGCCCGCCGGGCGCGGACCCGCAGGGGCAGGCAGCTGAGCCAGGCGTGGTCAGCGCAGCATCATGGAACGGGCCACAGAGGAAATGGATGTATTTCCCCGTTTATTGTGACCACTTAGAGGGAAAATAATGGGGAAAGGGAGCAACAGGAAGTGGAAGTGTGTAAGGAGGGACAGAAACACAGGATTCAGAGACAGGGAGAGAAAGAGAGAAAGAGAGACACTGCTCAGAAAAGCAGAGCCTGGATGGCGACCGACAGGCAGACCCCGACCCGGGTGGTGAGTGGGGCGCGCTGCCCGGCCCTGGCCCCCGGGCACTGGGGCCGTGAGGTGCAGAGGTGGGCGAGAGAAAACGGGCCCACGCGTCCCAGGCCCGGCGGCTGTCCTGATTCTGGCTTGCTGGCAGTCCAGGCCCCCACAGAGGCAACCGCGAACCCCCTGCCAGTGCGGCGCACCTTCTCGCTCCCCGCCGACCCCTTCCCACGGTCACCCCGGGTCTGGTGGCCACGAGGCTGCACTCCCACGAGGGGCAGGGTTGGCACAGTCGGGGCTCACAGAAGATGGGGGTCCCTCTGAGGACGTTGAGCGTGAGATGCTTGTGGGATATCCCATGGGAATAGCCCAGGTTTGGGGAAAGCAGGTGGGAAGAGTGGCTGATTTTACAGTCACCAGCAGACAGTGGGGATGGAAGCTTTGAGGACCTCAGGCAGAGCCCTGGGGGATGGCAGGGATAAGGAGAGGCACAAAGGGCTTCCACGTCTACCAGAGCGAGGCCCCCACGTCCCCTGGCCCAGCGCCCCCCGGCCCGGGAATCACCCACGAGGGCGGGTGGGGAGCAGGCCAGGGGAGCCCGTCTTCACGCTGCCGATGCAACGACGCTGGGAGGCACCGAGGTCGCCCTTTCCTCTTTGAAGTCAGCCGAAGCGGGGGGTGGGGGGAGATGCGCCTGAACAGTGCCCAGCTCCCTCAGCAACGCCCGTGCTCAGGCAAAGAGTGCCCCCCCGACAGTAGCCGCAGGGTGGCTCCAGGGCACAGGGGTCCTTCCTGACCCTGCGCTTAGCAAGGGCGCGCTCTGATCATCCGCTCTCGCCCCCAGGTTTGCTGACAACGGCATTGGCCTGACCCTGGCCAGGTAAGAGCGCGGGTAACCGCGCGGGGCCCTCTGTGGGACGCTGCCTCTGGGCGGGCAGCTCACCGCAGACACCGTCTCCCTGCAGCGGCGGGACCTTCCCGTACGATGACGGCTCCAAGCAGGAGATAAAGAACAGCCTGTTTGTTGGCGAGAGTGGCAACGTGGGGACTGAGATGATGGACAACAGGATCTGGGGCCCGGGAGGCTTGGACCACAGCGGAAGGACCCTCCCCATAGGCCAGTAGGTTTGCGACGTGGCGTAAGCCGTGCACCAGTGAGGGAAGGAAAGGCGCTCATTTGTGGTTTCTCCCATGCGCGGTCGGAGAAATGACGTCCCCGTGGGGCTGCCAGCCAAGGGGTGGGGCCTCGAATGCGAGAGAGCAGTCGGACCGCGTGAGCGCGCGTCTGTCCACTCGGGAGCCTGAGAAATGGAGAGGGTCCCTGAGCACCCTGCCCCTGCTGGGCCCCAGGCAGGACTTCCAGGTCACTGTCCTACTCCAGCCCCTCCCCCCGTCACAGAGCCTGCGCTCCCTCCCGACCTCCTCGTGGGGGTCCCGTGGCAGCCGCTCCCTGTCCACCCACCTCACTCTGCTGCACACATCCCACGTGCTCCCAGTCCAAAGGCTTGCTCACAGACAGGAAACGCATCTGATTAAATTGCTGTAACAACTAAGGCTAAGGCGATAGTGACTAATGGCTCTCCCTTCCCGAGGGACGCAGCATTGGCCCTCTCCCCCAGTGTTGACGGTATTTACCCAGTGACTCTTCATAGGATGGGAAGATTGGTCTGCAATAGAAGATAGTCCCCAACAACCAAGGCAGCAACTAGACAGACAGTCACCTCCTATCCATCCATCCATCCATCCCCTCGTTGCCCCTCATCATCATTTACTGACACTTACTGTGTCTGTGAGTGCTTTTCTAGTGAATTATCGAGTGAGTCAGCAATGTGCTGGGGAGGGGCAGCTGCGGAGGGTGGGGGTCAGGAGCAGGGCTCCGCTTTGCAGAACGTCTTTGGTGCCATCCACCTTGGAGGGTGCGCCCAGGGAGATGTGCCTGACCCCGGACTTCCCTTACTCCACAGGAATTTTCCAATCCGAGGAATTCAGTTCTACGATGGCCCCATCAACATCCAGAACTGCACCTTCCGCAAGTTCGCGGCCCTGGAGGGCCGGCACACCAGCGCCCTGGCCTTCCGTCTGAACAACGCCTGGCAGAGCTGCCCCCACAACAACGTGACCAACATTACCTTTGAGGACGTTCCGGTGAGTGAGGTGCCAGGGCCAGCTCCCAGCAAACCCAGACTCTGGGCAGTGAGTCACAAGTCCCTGGGGGCCGGCGCTGAGCTGTTGCTACCACCACAGAGCCGACCAGCCTCCTCTGAGCAGGCTGGGCCACGTCCCAGTTCTGTCTGCATCCAAACTGGAAAAGTACAAGTGTGGGGAGCCCGCAGGTCAGGACGGGGTAGGTGCCTGCTTGCCGCCATCCCAACCCCCACGCCCCGCCAGAGCTCGCCCAGCCGGAGCAGGCGCCTTAACACTGGGCTCGAGGTTCTGAGGCTGTCCCTCCAGGCGTCTTGCTTTTGACCTGGGACTTGTGCCTGGGCCACCTGTGTTGGCACAATTAATTTAAAAAACCTGAAGTTTCTAAGGGAATCTTTGCCGAAGATGCTGTGTTCAGCCTTCTCCCACGAGCAGACCGTGAACAGGGGCCTTCTGGCCACAGACAGCCGAGGAGTTAGCCCTGGGGGGTGATGGGGTCGCACAGCCGGCTGCCCTTGGAGACCAGGCAGGGCCAGACCTCCCGGTGCGTTTTCTGGGGGTTACAGACTTCCCAGGGCACTCCTCCTCCTCCTCCCCTCGGCCCCTGCCCCTGTCCATCTGCCCAGGGAAGGCGGGCTGAGGGACAAGAGGTGAAACTTAAGTTACCTAATTGCTTTGCTCAGGCCACCAGGGCCTGCAAGAGGCCCGTCATGGAAACCTCCAGGGGCCCGGGCTGAAAGGCTGTCCTCCTGAGACTCGGCACACACTCACACATGCCCCACCCCCGTGTGCGCATGCACTTTCTCACACAGACGGGCGCCATCACCACAGTCTCGTTCGCACTCACACACACGCACGCTCCTGGGTCGCCCCTGCCCATCTCTGCAGCCTTTCCAGCCTGGGGACCAGAGCACTCTGCAGGTCACCCGCAGCGGCCAACCCTCCCCTGGGCAACAACACGCTAGGTCTGCGGGCTGAGGCGGGGAGTCGTGGCCGCCTTTCCGGCCCCGTCTGAGGTCAGCCGTGCGGGTCCCCTCGTGCCCGATAGCATCTTTGGTTTGGCTGGTGTGTAATGTCCGCGGAAATCGGAAACTTCGCCGGGGACTGGTGACGGCTGCAGTTCCCCTTCCCTCCCCGGCCCCACCTGACTTGCCCGGGCTCTGTTTAGATCACTTCCAGAGTGTTCTTCGGGGAGCCCGGGCCCTGGTTCAACCGGCTGGACATGGACGGGGACAAGACGTCGGTGTTCCATGACGTGGACGGCTCCGTGTCCGAGTACCCCGGCTCCTACCTCACCAAGGCCGACAACTGGCTGGTCCGGCACCCAGACTGCATCGACGTCCCCGACTGGCGAGGGGCCATCTGCAGTGGGCGCTACGCACAGGTGGGGACACGAGGGCACGCCTGCCTGGTGTCTGTGGCCCGCTGTCCGCCCGTCTTCTGCAGAGAAGGGCGGACGGACGGAGAGCTTGCCCTGTCGTCGTAAGTGGCTACTGGTCAGTTGTGATCAGTAGTCTTCCTTCACTTCACAGTTGCTTTACTGTCTCTTTAAACACGTGATACTCCCGACAGCTCCGCGTGAGGGGCGGGGCTGAAGCGTCTCTTTCCATTTCATGAGCGATACAACTGGAGGGCACGATAGCACCTTCCTTCCAAAGGCACGTCACTGCACGTGGGCATGACACTCTCTCTTAGCCTCCGCTCCGGGGTTGTCACCTTAGTAACGGGGCACGGCAGCAAACGCTGTCTCACACCGAGGCTAGTCCAAAGCCCCCGCACTCGGGTGCCTGGGACTCCATGGCTGACAGTCTTGCTTTCAGTTTTGTCTCTGAAATGAAATGCCATCCTCCGGCCAGTGCACACTGACGCCCCCGTGGGCAGGCTGTGGGGCCAGGCGCTGAGAACCGGGGGGAGGCTGGGCAGCTGGCCGCGCCGTCTCCGAAACGCAGGCAGGATGGCAGCCCACGACAGGGCAGCTGCATTTGCGGCACAGCTGTCAAAGTTGTCGCTCTCTTGCTCCTGCTTTTCCCAAAATTTGCCTTCTGACCATTAGGCAAACTGCTCCCAGCTTCCCACTGGTGTCTCCTCAGCACAGCACTTTTTGAAGGAGCACGGAGCGTCAGCGGGAGGGCACCGTGCGGGCGGGCCGCGTCCGCCGGCACGTCCACCTTATTTGGCCGTTCTTCGCTCCACGTCTTCCAAGAGGGGCTGTTAAGGGAACGTGCCTTTGACAGTGCGGCCTCTCGTCGGATGTTAACCAGACGCTCCTCGAATAGTCCCTTATAATTGCCTTGTTGTGTGCTTCCTTTTTGGGTTTTAAAAGATGTACATTCAGGCCTACAAGACAAGTAATGTGCGAATGAAGATCATCAAGAATGACTCCCCCAGCCACCCGCTCTACCTGGAGGGGGCCCTGACCAGGAGCACCCACTACCAGCAGTACCAGCCGGTCATCACCCTGCAGAAGGGCTACACCATCCACTGGGACCACACGGCCCCGGCCGAGCTCGCCATCTGGCTCATCAACTTCAACAAGTGAGCTCCGGGCAGCAGGGACCGCGATGGCAGAGCCCCGGACGCGCCCCGTCCCAGGCCTCAGCCGGCTGTGTCCCCGGCAGAGGGCGCAGCTGACATCCCCCACAGCTCAGAACCAGAGGCCGGGCTGGGCCCCGCTGTGGGCGTGGGGGTCCCCAGCAGGGGCTCAGCTGAGGGTGTCCGGGCTTCATACGCAGGTCGGGCAAAAGTAGGTTCACAGTGGGAGTGCGTGAAACAAAGGGATTCTTCTTGCATTATTATTTATTTATTACTATCTTATTTTCTATGCCAATAACTGCAAACCTACTTTTGCCCCACCCTGTATTTGTGGTCGAGTGTCTTCTATGCACAACATCCCTGTGACGTGAACATTGATCAGACACAGAAAGTGAGACCCAAAGACACAACGCGGGCCCAGTGTTCAGGCTCCCCAGGAAGGGGCTGACCCGGGCCCTCTAGACTGAACCGACGTCCAGCTGACTTCTGGGTTTTCCCGCCAGAGTTCTGTAGGGAGCTCCCCCTACAGCCCCTGGAGCCCCCTGAGGGGCCCCTCGGGGTCCTCTCTCTCCCGAACACTTAACCACTCAGTCATCACCTATCGCACGTGTTCTCCAGAATCCCCCTTGCAGAAGGGGCGGGGCCCCGGCGGGGAACTCCTGGGTCTCTCTCGCAGGCGCAGGTGTACCCGGCGGCAGGGCGGCCGGGCGGCCGGGGGCATCCTGGCCTGCGAACCGACTCTGTCTTGGTGTCTAGGGGCGACTGGATCCGGGTGGGACTCTGCTACCCGCGAGGTACCAGCTTTTCCATCCTCTCGGATGTCCACAACCGCCTGCTGAAGCAGACGTCCAAGACGGGCACCTTCGTGCGGACCCTGCAGATGGAGAAAGTGGAGCAGAGCTTTCCGGGCCGCAGCCACTACTACTGGGACGAGGCGTCAGGGTGAGGAGCCCCACGCGGCCTGTCCCATGACCCTGAGATGCTCCCGCAGTGAGTGCTGGTTAGTGTAGGACCCCTTCCCGGGCACTTCCATTCTGAGGCTGATGGCTCCATCCGCCAGGGGCATTTTCCAGGCCATTAAGTTTTGTGAGTGACACGGACAGCCGTGTCCACAGCCCTCCTTTGCCAAAAGGCGTGAGGTCCTAGTCACCAGAAGTGGAAGGGGGAGGGGAGGCGAGGGCACTGCCCAGTCCCCTCCCCGTGAAGAGACTCTAAGGTCTTAAGGCAGCCGGCACGTGCTCTCTTCTTTTATAATGGGATAATGGCTCTATCAATTTGGTTACAGGAAAGTCAGGATTTGAAAATCAGAAGCATAAGTACAGTGTTGGGATCGGGGCAGTAAACAGCACCCCTCTCCCACCTGGGTCCCCAACCAGCTGCGGCGGGCAGAGCTCCCCGGCCGCCCGCGCACCGGCCCCGCCCCGGGTGGCACGGGGCCATCCCAGGCTCCCCTCCTGAGCCCAGCCCCAAAGACTCAGGGTGCAGAGCATCCCACGGAGTGCCCACTGCCTGTGGGCAGGCCCGCGTGACGCCCACCCCCACCAGCCAAACGGGGCGTTCCCCGCCCTGGGGAGGAAATGTGCGTGGCAGCGGCCTGAGCGTGCAGACGAGCCCTTCCAGATGAGCACCCGCGGGGGGCACCCCCCGCGTCTCTCCCACAGCGGCAGCAGGGGTTGGGAGCGAGTCTCGGGCTCGGGGGCCCAGGCCTCGTGGCGCCGCCTGTAGTTTTTTTCCTTCCTTTAAAATCTCGTTCCGCAGATGCGAATTTTTGAAAGGCAGACTGCCGCTGCAGAAGTTGAACTTTTTTGAGCAAAACACTGAACATTCTAAGATTTCCCCCTTCGTTATCTTTAAGCAGATTTTGTTGTCTAATTGAATGTTGGTTTTGGGTTGTTTTTTTTTTGTTTGTGTAGCTTATCATTATGCCAATTGACAGTAATGCTGTGCTTCTTAAACAATTTAAAAAATTTTTCAATCACAGTTGATAGGCCGTGTTTCTTAGTTTCAGGTGCACGTAGAGAGTAGACATTGATCTAGCTTACGGACTGATCACTGCGATGTTTCTAGTAACCGTGTGTCACCGCACAGTTACCGCGACACGACTGGCCGTGTCCCCTGTGCTGGGCTTGGCCCCCGTGACTGTTCTGCAGCCTGCGGTCCGCACTTCTCACTCCCTCCTCCTCCTGCGCCCAGGCCCCAGCCCCGCTTCCCACTGGGGGCCACCGTCTTCTCTGTACCTGCGAGTCTGCTTCTGTTTTGCTTTGTAGACTCCACATAGGAGTGAAATCGTTTGGTGTTTGTCTTTCTCTGTCTGACTTATTTACTTAGCTTACTGCTCTTCAGGTCTGTCCATGTCACAAATGGGAAGATTTCCTTCTTTTTATGGCCAAGTCATATTCCAATACATTTATGGGCACTTAGGAAGCTTCCATATCTTTGCTATTGTAAATAATACTGCAGTGAACATAAGGGTGCCTATATCTCTTCAAATTAGTGTTTTGGGGGTCCTTGGATAACTGCCCAGAAGTGGAATAGCTCGGTCATAAGGCAGTTCCATGTTTAGTCTTTTGAGGACTCTCCATACCGTTTTCCACAGTGGCCGCACCAATTTACATTCCCACCAGCAGGGCACGAGCTTTCCCTCTTCTCCTCGTCCTCGCCAACACTTTTTTGTTGACATATTGATGACAGACATTCTGACAGGTGTGAGGTGGTATCTCACTGTGGTTCTATTTTGCATTTCCCTGATGGGCACTGATGTGGAGCGTCTTTGCATATGTCTCTGGGCCCTCTGCACGTCCTTTAGAGAAGTGTCTGTTCAGGTCCTCTAATTTTTTAATTGAATTGTCTGGGGTTTTGGGGTTGTTTTTTTTTTTGGTATTAAGTTGTATGAGTCCTTTATATATTTTAGGTGTTAAGCCCTTTGGCAAACATCTTCTCCCGTTCAGATTTTCTTTTCAGTTTCTTTTGAGTTTCCTTCCCTGTGCAAAAAACTTTTCAGTTTGGTGTAGTCTCATTTGTTTATTTTTTCTTTAGTTTCCCTTGTATTAGGAGACATATCCAAAAGTATATACAGTACTAAAAGCAACGTCAGAGAGTTTACTGCCTGTGTTTTCTAATTTTATGGTTTCAGGTCTTACATTTAGGTCTTTAATCTATTTTGAGTTTATTCTTCTATAGGGTGTAAACTGGTGGTCTAGTTTCATCCTTTTGCATGTACCTTTTCAGTTTTCCCAACACCATTACGGGAGAGTCTGTCTTTACCCCATGGTGTGTTCTTCCTCTGTCACAGATTAATTGTCCCTATAGGCGTGAGACGACTTCTGGGCTCTGATGGCCTGCGCAGCCGTTCAGTGACGCGCTCAGGGACTACAAACGACGTTACAGGATATTTGTTTCCTGTGCAGAAGCCCAAACTTGGGGGCTTTTAGAGATCTTGGAGCTGTTTTTAATTGCCTTTGTGCCGTATAAATTTGTAGTTACTTCTTACTCAGGTTCAGAGCACCTGCTTTCCGTGGCTGCCTTGTCTTCCACTAGCGGCCAGGACGTCCCATAACCAAACCGCTCTGATTGGGGGTTAATGAAAGCCAATAGGCTAAAAGGGAGGGGCTGGGTTACGTCCACGCTCGGAATCAGCCCCGTTTGTCAAGGTTACAAGCCACCAAGGCGGGCCTGGCTGTGTTCTGGATGGCAGGGTTTGCCAGACGGCACCGTGCCAGGCGTTGCTCCCGTGTAAGCGCGTGTCCTGTGGGGAGGCCACAGCCAACACCCCCAGCTCCCCACACACAGGCTGCTGTTCCTGAAGCTGAAGGCCCAGAACGAGAGGGAGAAGTTCGCCTTCTGCTCTGTGAAGGGCTGCGAGAGAATCAGGATTAAAGCTGTGATACCCAAGCATGCGGGCGTCAGCGACTGCACAGCCACAGCGTACCCCCGGTTTGCCGAGCGAGCCGTCGTGGACGTGCCGATGCCCCGGAAGCTGGTTGGTGCTCAGCTGGTGAGTGGCAGGCGGCCAGCCTGCCCCTTTGCCTTCCGTTGGGCTCAGACCCCAACAGGGTCTTCTTGGGACGCCTGCTCAGCCCCGCAACACGCTTCCTGTGACTGGGGCGGGGGCGGGGGGCGCCGCAGGACGTGACCGCTTGCCAGGCTGTACGCTCCACGCTTCAAACCTAGCAACCACCCGGGGCCGGTTGGTTTTGCAGAAGACGAAGGACCGCTTCCTGGAGGTGAAGATAGAAAGTTCCAAGCACCGTTTCTTCCACCTGCTGAACGACCTCGCTTACATTGAAGTAAGGGGCGGTCTCTGTGGAGCTGGCACGCTCACCGACAGGCGGGGGGCGTCTCCTCGGGCTGGTGGCACAAACCGGGCGGCTTCAAACAACGGACATTTGTCCTCTTAGTTCTGAGGCCAGAGGCCAGAGTCCAGGTGTGGGCGGGCCGGTTCATTCCGGAGGCTCGGAGGGAGAGGCTGTTCCAGGCCCGTCCTAGCTCCCAATGGCTGCCGGCAGTCCTCAGTGTCCCTCAACTTGTAGAAACGTCCCTTCGGTCTCTGCCTGTGTTTTCACCTGGCCTTCTCCCTGTGTGTCTGAGTCTTCCGTGTCTGTTTGCCTCTCTTATGAGGGTGCCAGTCATTGGGTTTAGGGCTCATCCTAAATCTAGCACAAGCTCATCTTGAGATCCTTAATTACATCTGTGCAGACCCTGTTCTAGATTAGGTCCCTTTCACAGGCTCTAGGTGGACGGATGGTTTTTGGGGGGTGGCACTATTCACCCCACACCAGAAGGCTGCCGGGAACCGAGTGAAGTGGGTTAAGTGAGCTTTATGCTTTGAGCAGCTACAGAGAAACCTGTGTCCCGGGCTGACGTGGGCGCTCCGGGCAGGGGGCCGTGGGGCCTGCTCGCGTCAGGACCGCGCCCCACACCCCGCGTGGCTCTGGTCCGCAGGTGGACGGCCGGAGGTACCCCAGCGTGGAGGACGGCATCCAGGTGGTGGTGGTGGACGGCAGGCAGGGCCGCCTGCTGAGGCACGCAAGCTTCCGGAGCGCCCTGCTGCAGGGTGTCCCGTGGCAGCTCTTCAGTTACGTGGCGGACGTCCCCGACAAGTGAGTGCGGGCCCTCCCTGCCCCTAAGCCTTCGCCACGGCGCAGGCGGGAGCGCTCAGGCACGCTCCCCGGCCGGCCCACGGATCGTGGGTGCTGGGCCGGGAACCCCCTGCCGGAGCCGGGCCTCGTGAATGTAGGTCAGGCCGGGCGGTCGGCTCCCCGGCTACGAGTGGGAAGCCGGCCCTGGCCCTGGGCCCCCATCGTGATCTCATTCCCTCCCACGCTTTTAATGGGATCCAAATGCCAGTGGCTTGTGAGCGTCTCCAGCCCAGATCTCTCCCTGAAAGCCAGACACCCCGCTCCATGGCCCCTTGGAGGGGCCACCTAGAGGTCTCCTGGGGAACCGAATTCTCACCTTTTTTTTTTAATCCCCCAAACCAGCCAACTGTCCCGGTTTTCCTGTCTTGATGGCATTGTCATTGCCCTCCAGCCAGAGCAGAGTCGTGGCGTCACATTTGGCCCTTTTCCTTTGCCACACCCCACAACTGTGGCTGCTGCCCTCGGCGGTGCCCTGCGCGTGCCCTCCTTGCGGGCCTGCCCCGCCCCCGCCTCCCGCCCCATCCACGGGCCACCGCGGCCCCAGGGTCCCGGGGGTGGAAGAGGAGCTGCTCACGCCCGAAGCGAGGATGGCCTCCAGGCGCTGCCCCTGCACCGAGGGCGAGTCCGTGCGGACCCCTGCGGGCCCTCGAGAAGCCCAGACCAGGCGGAGAGGGCGGCACGGTGTGCCCGCCGTCGGGCTGTGGCCGATGGGAAGCCCCATCCCCGCGTCCGCTGCCGTGAGCCACCCCAGACCGACGCCTGTCCGGGGGACGTGGCCTTCCTGGGAGGCCCCCAGGGGAAGGCTTAGCCCAGACAGGTCCGGTTCCTCTGAATTGGAGCGACCTCCGGGGGGCAGAGCCCGAGTCCGAAGGCGAGGGTGTGTCTGCGATGCCGCGGCTCTCCGTGGCAGCCACCAGTGTCGGGCCTCCCGCCCCGTCTGCTCTGACCGCACACAGGCCTCTGCGTGCTGAGAACTTCCCTTCTGTCCTGATGGGCCAGGCGGGAGGGGGCGTGGAGCGGGGTGACGGCAGGTTCCAGGGCCCGAGCAGATGCTCCAGACTGGCCTCCAGCCGGTGGGGCTCCTTTGAGACGGTAGCCAGAGGCCCCGCTGCTGTTCCTGTGGGGGGGTGTTCACTTCCTCCTGCCCAGGCCCCACGAAGGCTGCTTTCACAGCGCGGTGGCCCGGGGAGCCAGGGCGGGCAGGTGGAGGCTCCCTGCTCCCAGGCGGCTGCTGCGGGGTGGGACCTTCAGGCCGGGCACCTCCATTGCGCCAGGCCTCTGCCCCCACCCAGGCACCCTTCCGTGCTGGCGAGTCCTCTCAGATACTAGCAGCTCAGTTTCCCCATTTGCAAAACAGAGCTGTGGCGCTGCCTTACCTGACCAGAAAGGGGCATGGCAGGCACCTGCCGGCTGGCTGTCCCTGAGCACGGGGCACCCAGGCCTTCTCCACCCCCAGCGGACAGCGGGCAGGACGCCCCGGCCAGGAACTGGGGCCGCCCGGCACAGTGGTGCCCCCGGGGCGCACTCGGGCACCTGCTCCGCCCTCTCTGGGGACAGACTGCAGCCTTGGAGAGCCGCCAGCGCCAGCTGCACCCAGATGGTGGGAGGGGTGTGCCAAGCAGCCCGCAGGAGGGGCTGCCCTCCCCGCTCGCCGGCCCGGCCTCTGGGCACAGCTCGGTGCCCTTGGTCCGCCGCGCCCTCTCGTCCTCTAACCAGCCCTCCTTGCTCAGCTCCATAGTTCTCATGGTATCGAAGGGAAGACACGTCTCCAGGGGCCTGTGGACTCGAGTGCTGGAGAAGCTCGGGGCGGACAAGGGGCTCCGGCTGAAAGGTGAGGGGCGGGGTCCGGCCTGGGGTTTCCACGAGCTCAGCTGCCCCTGCCGGGCGCAGACCCTGTGTCGGCACAGCCGGTGGTCCCTGGGATGCAGGGCCGGTGCCACCTACACAGGCTCTTTGCCCTGCATGTGACCAGTGAAGGAAATGGCTAAAGTTGTTCTCCCAGCAGGGGAGCCTTTTTTCCATCAAAAATACCAGCAGCAACGTGGCTTGGTCTGCCCTCTGCCGGTTCTGGCCGCTCTGGCCGCTGGGGCCCCCACCGCTCCCTCAGCACCGCAGCGGATGTCCCAGGCATGTTCCTTGCTGCTGCTGCTGCAGTCGGCAAGCCCTCAGCGCTCCCGGGGGGCAGGCGGGCGAGCCGGGACCTGTGCAACCTGGCCAGGGCCACAGAGCGAAGCCCAGCCCCGACACACCGGGCGGGCGGCGCGGCAGCCAGCAGCAGCAGCAGACCTCGTCAGAGGGCCCCTAGCAGGCGGAGGGGAGGGAGCAGCTGTGCGGATGATGGTGCGCGTGTCCACTGTAGTTGTCACGTGTCAGCCTGGCACCGTGCTAAGCAGTCTCACAGTTGTCTCCTGTTTTCTCAGTCACCTGTGGGACAGGTACCGTCACCTCCATACAAGGTGAGGAAGCTGAGAATTAGACAGCTAAGTAACTTGGATGCTAATTTTCCTAATCCAGAGGCAGGACTTTCGGCTGCCATGCTGTCCCGACTACAAAAACCATCAAAGCTACCGCCCAAAGGGTCACTGGGCTGCACAGAGGGGCAGGGACCTGCTGGTGGCCATGGGGCCACCTGTGCAGGTGGCTGAGGCTCCGCGGAGACCGTGTGCCCCGCACAAACGTCGTCAGGCGCTGTCAGTGCTTAGGCGCAGGGGATGTTGTGTAGTGCGGCTGGGGAGGGGGTGCGGGGGCCAGGTGGCGGGGACCCCTTCTCTCTTGGGGTTTCCACTCATGTGACTCCTCTCTGCTTTTCAGAGAAAATGGCATTTGTTGGCTTCAAAGGCAGCTTCCGGCCCACCTGGGTGACCCTGAACACCGAGGACCACAAGGCCAAAATCTTCCAAGTCGTGCCCATCCCTGTGGTGAGGAAGAAGAGGCTGTGAGGACGGCTGTCACCCTGAGGCCACCCCATGTGGACTGGGGTGGTGGACTCTTGGCAGCAGGCCAGGGTAGGGTGGCTGGTCCCCGCAGCCGCTGTGCAGAAAGGCTGTGGGTCCGGGTAGAGGCCCAGGGAAGGATACGCGCCCCCTGGCAGCTCCATCTGCCCCGACTCGTGTCTGCCCGCAGCCCCAGGACGGTGCTGGAGACCTGTCCTCCCTGCAGTCTCCCGGGTGCTTCCCTCCCCGCCGGCCTCTTCCGTGGGGGTGTAGGGACCGTGAGGGGAGATCCGGGCCGCCCGGGCAGCAGGTCCGCTCTGGCAGGAGCGGGACTGGGCGCTGGTCCCTCGCGGACCCCGCGCTCCCCGGCATGCACACTGGGGTGGGGGTGGGAAAGAGCCCTGGTCCCACTGAAACCTCTGTCCTAACCCTGAACCAGCCTTCGCGGGATAATTAGCAGCAGCGGGGACGTTCGCAGAACTCTGGGGTCGAAAGGGCTGCCCTTGGGGAAGGGGTGAGGCCTGCCTCTCGGTGGGGGCGGCCTACCGGTCAGGAAATTCCAGTCCCAGGTTGAGATCAGACTTTTAAAAGGGGACTTTTAAAAATCCTTTCAATTCAGAGGTCCCAGAAGCCCAGGGCCTCAGGCAGCGCCGGGAGCCCGGGAGCGGGTGAGAGCAGCCCTGGCGCTGGAGCCGGCGCAGGTGGAGCCAGCGGCGCAGGACGGCAGGGCGGTGCCGGGGCAGGGGCTCGCAGTCTTTCAGCACCGGCGGCCAGGCACCGGCGCCCTTGGGAGCCAGGCAGAGAGGCCGGAGCACGTAAAATGGGGAGCGCGCCAGTTCAGAGAGGGACTGGCCCGACCCGCTCGGGTGAGCCAGGAAGGCTTCCTAGAGGAGGCGGCAGCGGGGCTCACAGGAGCGGCAGGCAGCCTCCCCTCGCTCAAACTGCCCGCCAGCCCGGCGCGCAGCACTGCGCACGCTGAGCCCTTCTCTCTGTGCCGCCCTGGCTGCTCTCGGGGGTCTGAGGAGCCGTTGGGTCCACCCCAGGGCCTACAGCTACTGCCTAGTACCCTGCTGTCTCCCCTGTCCCCTGGGAAAGAGCAGAGAGCTCCTCGAAGAGGGAAAACTACCTGTGGTTTGTGCTGTCGTGACACGCCAGGTCCTTCCCCAGCCACACACTTTTCCCGCAGGGAGGGCCCCGCTGCACCCAAGACCTGGTGAGACTCAGTCACCAAGTCCATTCCTTAGGTTGAGCCAACTGCCAGAGCGGCCTTCCCACCACACAGGCTGCTGGCTGCTAGGAGGGGACAACAGGACTCCTCCTCTTATGCCAGGGCAGCCGCCCAGGCCCCGGCCCGGGAGGGGCCTCTTCCGGGCAGAGTAGTGGAGAGGGGGAGGTGAGTTACAGTGACCTCATATTCTCCTGGTCTACGTTGAGTTTCTCAAACTTTTCATGCAAGGGTCTCACACTGTGAACCACTTGGGACGCGCTCACTTCAGGGGGCCAGGAATGCTGACTGTCTGCGGTTCAGTTTGTTTCAGAAAGTGTCTATTTGAGGATCCTCAGAGTTGTACATATGCCCTGTAGAACCTTTCCTAAGCCGTTCGCCAGGAGCTGATGTCCAGGCGCGTTCTCGGTAGCAGCAGCATTTCCACTGCTTAGACAATTGGCCTTGTTCTTCCTGTGCGTGAGCGTCAAAACGAGTTAGGCTTTTAAAAGAAACAACACACCTCTGAAATGCTTGTCTTTTTCCTGTTGCCGAAATAGCTGGTCCTTTTTCGGGAATTAGCTGTATAGTGTGTTTGTATGTAAACATTTCTTGTAGGCGTCACCATGAACAAAGATATATTTTCTATTTATTTATTATACATGCACTTGGAGAAGTCCTTGTCAGAGAAATGAAGAACTGCCTCGCGTGTCCTGTCTGGGGAGTCCTTTGACGGCCACAGTGGCCCGGAGCCTTCGCGCGCCAGGGCCCGTGGCTCTGCTGTGGGAAACCTCGCAGCGCCACAGTAAACGCACGAAGGACGCCACCCTGTCTGTCTGTCTTCCTTTAAGGTGGGCCTCGCGTCTAAGAAAACAAGGTTGATGAAACGCCCTACGGGTCTGTCTCTTTCACTTCCAAGAATATTCCAGTGCAGGTGGGAGAGGGCAGAGGTGAGCAGGCGCCGGCCCCGCTGCGGTTTGCAGGTGGCATTAGAAGACGCTCTGTGCCCTTCACCCTCTGCTGGGCTCCAGGGTGCGCACCCGCCGTGGGCTCTCCGCAGCCCACGAGGGTGACGTGTGAGCAGTGAGCCTCAAGTCATGCGGGCCAGCCCTGACCTCACAGCTGTGTGTCTCGGGCGTGTGGGTTAAGCACCGCACCTGAGCCCGTGGGCCCTGATGGCAGTCCCCACTGCAGGCGTCGTGAGGGCTGAGCGCGTGCGTCCCTGTGAAGCGCTGGACAGGCAGGCGCTCTATGGGAACTGCTGTTGTGGTTTTTCGGTTTTTTACATGAATAAATAGAAGCTCCTAAGGGCTGAACCCCTCGCCCGAGGTCACAGCTAGGAAGCAGCAGTGGCCTCCTGACCGGGCTTCCTTTCAGGCAGGAACGGCTGAGTCCAGATCCTATAGCAAGGTGACCTTGGGCAAAACCTCCCCTCCTCTGAGCCTGTGTCCTTGCATGCAAGATAGGGCAGTGCCTACAGCTGCGGGCTGCTGGGACGGCGACGCGGGCCAGCACACACAGATCGAAGAAGGGGTCGGAGGAGGAGGCGCCTGCTTATTTTCACAGATACTTGGCAAGCACAGCTCGGGCGATCTGTTAACGCACACAGTAGCTGAAGAATTCTCCCCAACGGGTGGGTGTCGGAGCAGCCAGTGTGGCGAGGCCGGAGGCAGGGCCGGTCTCTGCTGCCCCCTCGTGGACACGTGCCTCCATTTTCAAATGTCCTCTCTGTGTGGGGAGACCGCACTGGTCATTTTAGGGGGTTTTGGCCAGTCACCTCCCGAGCTGTGCCTTGGTTTTCTGTATTGAAAGGTGGAGAGGACAGACAGTTGCCCCTCACTCGACAGGGTCTTGAGAAGGAGGTGGGCGCTCACTGGCTCTGTGATTGGGGCCCGTCCCTGCCCCGGCACCCCCGCCTCAGCCTGGTCTCCTCCCCAGCAGGGCAGGTGCAGATTCAGGCGGTGGATAACAGGAGGCGTGTACAAGCTCTAAAAAGCTCAGTGAGGCCAAAGACAATGAAGTTTTTAAAAATAAAACTCATTACAGAACTAAAATACTGGTGCCCCAAAGACCAACACAAAACCAAAAAATAACTTAATGGAATGTTTCCAAAATGATGAAAAAAGGAGCAAATCCACAATTGAGAATGTTCTAAGATATAAAAAAATGATTCCTGCCAGTCAACACTAAGACTGTAGTAAAATGTCTGATGTTAGGAATGAGGAAAAATCCCCAGATAAACTGATAGAAAAAGCAGATAGAAAGAGAAGGCTGCTGTCAGACCCCTCAGTGAAGCGCGGCCTCGTCACGCATCACATCCACGCACAGCCACACTGCCGGACAGTGGGAAGGCAGGAGGAAGTTCGCGGACTCCCTTTCCGTGGCTCAAGCTTCATCCGTGCTGGGCTGGTAGAGGTTGACCAGTGTCAAGGAGACCAGAACCCAAGGCGTCAGCATGACCGTCAGACCCGAGGGCGTGAGGATGAGGGAGATGCTTGTTGGAGTTTTCCTTTCTCCGCGTGTAGTCCCAAGATGCTATGCAAATGTGTCAGATGAACAGACGTGAAAACCAACGTGCGAAATTAAAAATAAGTTCGTGTCTGTGCATATGTTCCCCCCACCTCCCTGAAGTACGCCATTTCTCGCTCCTGAGCCTGCACACCGGGGCACCGTGAAGGCTGGAGGCTGGGGACCCACACAGCCGGGGCTGGGACGGGTGGGGCTGCCTGGTCCTCTCTGTACGCGGACTCCTCTCCAGCCCGGTCCTCCTCGCGGGCCTTCCTGCCATCCCCCCTCCGCTGCGTCTCACCGCAGAACCTCTGCGTGGAGCACTCCTTCCCTCCTCCTGTCTGAGGGAGATCTCTCTGAACATCCTGCTTTCTCCCTCCTCCAGCCACGTCTTGGCACCACGAACTTTCCTACGGTTCCCGTTTGAATTTACATGTGGTAACATTCGTCTTCCCCGCCAAATCATTGTTTCACAATGGCAGGGGCTACACCTGCACCGTCCCTGGCACCTCAGCGCTGAGCACCTAACACTCAGTAACTGCTGGCGGAGGTGGCTGCATGAGACAGAGGTGACATTCTGACCCGGGAAGACGAAGTGCAAACACAAGGGACATGTGCTTCCCTCCTGATCCATGAAAACAAGGACCCAGTCAGGAGGGTGGCTCTACACTAGACCGTCATGGCCTTGCCAGCAGGAGCCCGACGCGGCCCCGAGGGAACCCGAGGACCCCCGGCGCTCGTGGGCACCGCTGGGTTCCGGGGCGCAGAGCAGTGACTTTCACGCGGTGTGCCACAGAATTTTTAAAACATGCAGTAGCCCGACTCCATTTAGTCAGGAGCACTGATCTCTTTTCCCTTAAATTGTCTAATAAAAAAAGTGACAACAGCCAACACAACAACAGCTGTCTGGTGTGAATGAATCAAAGTTACACTTTTTGGGGGGTCAGATCAGCAAAACCTGCATATATTTTTTGGTGTGCCACAGAATTGTAGTGATTCGTTCACATGCCGTGAGACGAGAAAGGTTGCAGAGCGCTGGCGTGGACCCCGGCTGTCCCCAGCGCCCGCCCCCCACCCCCGCCTGTCCTGGGCCCACTCTGACAGGGGCTCTGGGCGGGCGAGGCGGCTGCAGCTGCTCCAGCCACACGTCCTCTGGGTTCAAACTGTAGGAGAAACAAAAGCCACCTACCCCTTCCTGAAGTGGCTCAAGGAACTGAGCTGGGTTAGCTCTCCCCTGCAGTGGCCTGGAGGCTGGGGCAACAGCAGGGCAGGTGCGCCCCCAGAGCCCAGCACTGAGTGGGAAACAAGACGCTGGAAGGCAAACAGCCCCCCGCCCGCCCCCACGCTGTACAGACACGGCTTTCGGAAACAGTACCAGCAGCGCCCGCTGGGCAACAGTGGCAGTGCTTAGGCAGACGGTGCCCTGGGGGCGCTCCTTTAACAATGGCATTTTCTAACCCTGTACGTGTGTTCTCTTGTTAAAATCACAGTGGACAATTTTTACAAACAATTTTACTTCTTAAAAATGACGCCTGAATATAAATCCTCTTAACTCTCACCCAGAGCAGGCTCCAGCATGAACAGCAGGCAGGGCATCACGGGAGTACCATAAAGCAGCACCGCAAATTTAGGCACTTTATCAAAGAAACATGTTTACAAAAAGGAACGAGGTTATCGAGCCTCCTGCCACACTCTGCAAAGGACACCGCTGATTCCCAGTCTGCATCCTGTAAAACTGCTGCCTCAAATGAAACACAGAGCCTCGACCCCAGCATTACTTTCCTAAATAAGGACACAGAGTGGGATCCCTGAACTTCACAGACCACCTAGCACTTGACTTGAATCCAAGAAATTCAAAGGAAACGCTTAGGAGCTCCGAGTTACATTATTTCCTGTTCTCTGCACTTTTTGCAGATGTGGGGTTTGCCCACCCTGGTGTCCAGGTTGCGTATTTAAACACCTGAGCTCTGTGCAGGGCTCCCACGGCATGTTTTACCTTCACAGTAATGAAAATGGTATTTTTTTTACAGCTTGTGGAGCCTGATTCAATTAAATGAAGTCTTAACATCTGTCTGATTAGAACTTGGTACCTTTTTAGTCAATAGGAAGTAAAGCACATGGACACCCCACAGGTGGACACCCCAGAACGCACGTCAGAGCAGGTGTCGGGGGGGGGGCTGACACAGCAGTGTTACGCCTCCAAATTTAAATGGGAAAAAGCAACAGTCAGGTTTCCATGTAAAGTGATTTTATAGTAAACCTGAATTTGGCAGTGTCCAATGTTAATGCAAAACCTGTCTCCTTACTTGACACCTTTTTGACAGTAGTTCTTACTCTGACCACACACTGGTCACTCGGCAGACCCCCTCTACAGGAAACTAGAATTCTGTCCGGTGTGCGGCTTCCCACGCCTGCCCCGCCCCACGAGCCCCGGCTGAGCCGTCCTGCATGCTCTCCCAGCGGCCGCGGCTGCCCCGTTACAAGTCTTCTCGTTTATTCCCAGCTCGGTTGTCTTCCTTCGAAGCCCGGGATTTCGGCTCTCCCTCCTTCTTCTTCTTGCCCTTCTCTTGCTTTGTTTTGTTTTTCTCTTTGCCTCCTCCTCCTTTGCCAGGATACACCTGTCCTTCCAGAGTGACGTCAGCACACCTGTCCTGACCAACCAAAAAGTCCTTGATCTCCCAGGCGTAGCTCCCGTCACGCAGCATGAAGATAGCGCGGTCCGAGCCCACAATGAACCTTGACAGGGAGATGCAACCAGTCAGCACACGCCAGTAAAGAGCTAATGGGTCAGAGTTTCTGCGGCCCTTACCCAGGACAAACAATCCCTCTCAAATTCTGCAGGGATACAGAACGAAAAATTGGACTTGCCAAGGCCCTGTAGCTTCTGAAATTTGTCTGAAAACCCTAGCTGACCAAACTAGTTAACCCCTGAGATCAGAACAGAAGCAGACCCTGGGTCTCGCGCAGCGTAGGGGTGCCCGTCAAGGGACAGAATGAGGACGAGCTCCTGAGGCCGCGGCTGGGGAGGCAGGGAGCAGGCTGCCGTCTGAGCCTGTGTTACATTCTGAGGTTGCCCAGCTACGGTTTCTTTTAACAAGTCTTTGCCGATGAAGGCTGAAAACCACTGGTTTCCACGGGGTCCTGAGAAGACACAGAGCTACTGGACAGAAATCCCAACCCTGGAAGTTAACAGCAAGCAGCCCAAGTATGTCCACATGCAACACTCCACAGGTCGCAAGGAGCAAAGGGGAAAAGGACGGGGTCTGGGTGCACCACTAGCGTCGCCAATGGGCACAGCGTTTCTGTTCCCGAGGGGCTGTCCCTGGATCGGTGGTAGCTGATTTATTCCCCTAAGTGTCTAGAAAGCTAATGAAAGCCCTCTGCCGTCCTCGACACTCTCTCAGCATTCCTTCATTTCTTTTTATTACTTTTATATTCCCTAAACTAATACATGTGAAGACCCTAAATTTTAGAGCTATTATTGAGGAAGGAAAAAAAGAAATTCCTTAAAGCTGTATCTTAGGATCGTACTGAACTGCGAAAAACAGACCCCTCTACCTTATATTAGTTATCTGTTAACAGTCTGGTCCCACAGCTACACAGAAAAGCATTCTCCCATAAGCAGATACTTCTGAAGGAAGAGCACTGTTAAACTGTAACTAATTTGGCCTGCAAACATGCTAAGTTAGACAACTTTTTACTCAGGTAAAATAAAAGTTAAAGATACAAAGATAAATACAGCTTTACGATCAAATAAGTTACTAAACAAAGCAAAACAAAACAACTTACTGGCTTTGACCAATAAGGAACATTCTTCAAAGACCATCCTGCTAGATACAGAGCCCAGCACAGCCTACGCTGTCCTCAGCGAGGCGGTAGGTGCTTTACCTCTGGACGTCGTAGTTGGCGTTGAAAAGGCTGCCCTGCCAGAGGCTGGTGATTTCCTCCGTCTCCTTCTCCGTGGGGTTTCCCGATACGGTGACAAACATCATGAGAGTCTTCCCTTTCTTCGTCAACTTCAATATGCTCTCCGGCTTGCCGGGGTCTATCTTCGAGAAGTCCACAGGTGCTGAAGGCCTTTTGTGCTCCGGAAGGTCCCCTTCTTCGATGTCGTCATCTTTCTGTCAGGACGGAGAAAAGCCTCAAACATCAGAACTGTGTGTTGCACCTGGCAGAGGCAGGAACACCTGCCCAGGGCTCGGGTGCGGGTCTGCGGCCTGTGTCGTCACAGAAAAAGGAAGCCCCAGCGCCTTTCCTCCACGACTGGACTTTCAAGCCAAGTCTGAGTCTCAGGCAGCACTTGCTGCCTGTCACTCCAGGCTGCCCATCACAGAAAGCCCCGCCACTCCCAAAGAATCTCCTCGACACGACATAGATTGTAAAATGGCCACATTCTCGCGTGGTAGTACAGTGAAATACTGCACGAGGAAGAACAACTGCTGACATGTCACAAATCTTAAAAATGTTATACGCAATCACAGGACTAGCAGGAAAAGACTAGGGAGTGGGCTCCAGGATCTCTGCCAGGGGAGGAAGTACTCTTTCCTACGAAAACGCACCCATGGAGATGGATACGCTCTCCCACAGGGGAAAACTCACTGATACTGGGGAAGGGTGCTGACGTTTGTAGCATTGGCAAACGCCATTTCATTCCGTCTGCATGTAGCCGGCAAAGTGGCACGTTATCTAGCTCTGTGGACAGGAAAATGGGGATCACAGTTACCAAGGGGGGAAGCTGGGGTCACAGACCTCTGTCCTTTCACTATATTATGCTGTCTGTCACCTTGTGGGCACACAACCAACCACAACTGCCAAGTCCTATTATGAGCATAGTTATCGCACATCTCTCCCTTTGCCCCACTCCTGCAGCCTCTAGCTTGATCCAGGTCCTCTCGTTACCTTCCACCTGCACCTGTTCACCAACGTGTATGGCTGTGTAGTAAAATGGGTGAAAGGTGGTTTTTAAACTGACGGAAATGGAAAGTCAATTAACTTGCTGTGCCATCTTGGGCAAGTGACTTTACCTCTCTGGGCCTCGATGTCATCACCTAGAAGACAGGGATAAGTACCTCCCTCACCAACGCAGTCAGAGGATAAATGACATACTGTGCTTACCATCGTTCTGATAGCTCATGAACGCTCCATAAATAAATATTAACTATTAAGGTGTCTCTGCCTTCATATTCTCTTCCTGCCCATCCATCCTAAACTTTACCAACCAATTAATTTTCCTCAAGTTTAGCCCCAACCATGATATTCCACTATTCAAAGACCTTACAAAGCTGACATATCCACTCCAATGCATATTCCAAAACCTTACAGAAAAAACAAACAGCAGAAAATTCACCGATGCTATGCTTTCTGCTATAAAAACTGCCTGTATCCAGAAGGGGTCTTCAGAGAAAACATGTTTTGGGATGAAACTATGAATAACTATATTCAAACATTCCAGTTTTGCAATATTTGGGTAATACAAGTTTTCAAACTTTTCTAACTCACCAGGGACTACATATCTCCTTCTAAAGTCCAAACCCCACAGCTTTCAAGGCCTAGTGTGACCTGGTTCCCAACACTTTACTTCTCACTACTTTGCTTCAGACAGTCTACTCCAGCCAACCAAAGTAACTTGTAGAGTGACAGATTTTTGTGTCATCGTAGCTAATGATTAGAGGTGCAGTCTTCTTGGCTCCTTCCATGTTTTCTCTGTTGGTCCTCAGAACTACCTAGGTAGATAATGTGAACACCTCTATTTTGTAGGTGAGGAAATGAAAGTACAGAGGTTTTCTATGAGTCCAAACTCCCAAGCTCAGTGGTTTGAGCCCAGGCTCCTCATGTTTGCAGAGTTCTGCCCCGTTATTCCGTGTCTCGTCTTCTGCTCCTGCTGCTCAGCGAGGAAGGCCCTTCCCCCACACTGCCCTTACCTATCTAAAACGGCCATTTCCGCCCTGAAACCCTTTGATATTCCCACAGCACTGTCTTTCTTTTTATAGCACTCAGCAATTCCTACTTTTTGTTATGGTTATTTTCATTGTTATCTACTGTTACCGCTGGTTGGATCCCCTGTTCATCTCGGCAGCACCTGTTCAGTCTAGCTCAGCCTCTGAGTATTTCCAGGGTAGGATTTCCTCATGAGACAGGGTTCTCACTTTGGCAAATCAAAAGCTCCACTTTCTGGAGTCCAAAAAGAGATGGGAAGATTGCAAGGAAGATGGTAAATGGGGAAGGAAGTGTTGCATTAGGTTCTCGATTCGTTAGCAGTCTTCACACCCTCCACTGTACCCCAATCTATCAGCTGCAGAGTAACACGAAAACACAGCCTGCCTTCTGCTAGCAGATGGCATTTTAAAGTCATGTCTGAAAATCAGTATCGAACACTCAAAGAGAGAACCACAAAATAATGAAACATCGGTACCGGAAAGAATTTCATCTTGGAGATAAGGCACCTGGACCTAGAGAGACCTGACTTGCCCAAGGTGGACACAATGAGTAGAACCCTAGTTTCTATCTCTAGGGCGACCAGGACAACACAACCACCTTTGGAAGGCAAAAAGGCAGCTACGCGTTTTTGGCTAGTTAACTTTAAATAAAAAGCTTATTACAAATTCCCTGTAATTACACACTCCAGGGCATTCAGAAAGCTTACTGTCACCAAAAGTAATTGCTTCTTTAAATGAAAATATGTGAGTTCCATGAGAGGCACCAGTCTTCGATTACCAGGGCGGCCACCCCCAAAATAAAGCACCCCCTGAAACTACAAAAACTCTTTAGGGCAATGTACTCAAATGGGAAGTTTGAAATCATACTGATTTGGAAGACGAGACAAGTCTTAAACCTGAACTGACCCTCTTGAAAAGTAATCCTGTCCATAGCCCTCACTACGCACTCACCCCGTTCTTCAGATATACAATGAAAAGCTCTCCCTGCCGTTTGCAGGGCTCAGGGGAGCTAAGCAGGGGCGGCGACCAGAGCACTGGGAGTAAATTAAAGCTCCAAGCGAGAGGCTGACCCTTGATTGGAGAGGCCCCCAGAAAAGGTGGACGAGGGCACTGGGATGGAGGCCTGGGTCCGGGGCGACGGACAGTAGGGGATCAGGGGTGGCACGGAGGGTCAGCGGTGGCTCGAGGCGATCAGTAAGGACTCGGGACACAAGCAGAAAGGAGGTTAGGGGGTTGGAAAGCAGTGACCCGGAGGGGGTGAGAGGTCAGGGGGAGCGGGGCCCAAGACAGAGCAAAGCCCGAGGGTGTGAGCGCGCCGCGGACCTCCCACTGCTCCAGGAGACGAGCCATGTCCGCATCATTGTAATCGCGAATATCCTTCTTCTTCTTCTTCGGGGGAGGGGGGGCAGCCTCGCCGGGCTTACCGGCCGGGCCATCGCCCGCGCGGGCCCCGGGCGGTAGCAGCAGCAGCAGGTCACAGGCGCATAGCAGGACCACTGCCGCACGGACCCAGCTGGAGGCCGCCATCTTCGCCGCTCCGCGGCTACACTGCGCCCGCGCGAGCCGCCCGCCTCGCCCCGCCCCGCCCCGCCCCCGACTCCCTTTTCCGGGACCCGGTCCTGTGCCCGCCTCCGGCCACGCCCCCTCGCGGCTCCACCCCCGGGAGCGCGCCGGCCTGCCAGGCCCCGCCCCGTCCGCTCTGGAAGCACCGCCCCTCCGCCATTTTGTCCCGCCCCTGGGCTCCTCCCCTGGTCCTGCTGAGGCTCCCGGAGCGGAGGGGCGGATCCAGCCTGCGCTCCCGCTCCTTTTCCGCCAGAGGGACGACGTTTTTCTCCCCAGCGCGAGGGCCGGGGCCAAAAGCTCCCCCAGGGCCTCCGGGAACGCTCCTCAGCGCCTCACGAGGCCTCAGGGTCTCGCCTCTGAGGTGAGTTGGCGCTTTCTCAGCTCCAGGAAAGCCCGGTTCGCGGAGTCCGGCGCTTCCCGCGGGCCCCCTGCGATGCGTGTGGAGTTTTTGAAAACTTTTGAGCGACTTGACATCGCGCCCCCGCTTCGCGGCTCAGTCGAGGGGATTCAGTCCCCTCAGCTCCAGTGTTCCTGTCAGCTCTCCGACTCTCGAAAACGCTTTAAAAAAATGACTTTTAGAGGATTCAGTTCCACCAGCTTTCAGATATTCCTGTCAGACTCGAAAAAGCATTAAAAAAAAAATTACTTTCAGAGGATTTCATCTGTCATCTTCCAGATACTCCTGTCATCTCTTGAAGTCGAAAAAGCTTTTTTAAGAAAACATTACTTTTTATTAAAAAAAAAATTATCGTCAGTCTTTCTTCTGATGTTCACGCAGTCGGTAGGCTCTGACTCATCCTTTTCAAGGCTGAATCATTCGATTTTAGTTTCTGAACAAGAGGCTTTGCCAGAGGTGCTTTGAAGTCCCGAGTGTTACAGGGAAGGTCTGCTGATTTCTCGTACGTTTTTAATTCTGGAAGGAAGACATGAGTCACCCAGGGTCGCGGCGGCGCGTGTCCCGCGGGGTTCGGACCCTGCTCCTCGACCCCTCAGTCCGCAGTCGCACCCCGCACCCACCGGGGGGTCAGTTTGTCACGTACCGGGTACACTTTTCTACACATGTCCGCGCATCACCGTGGCTCTAGGGATGGTTTCGGTGCGTTTATACGGATTTTTGGCAGCGCCCTGTACGAATTGGTAAGCATATTAGGTCCTTCGCTGTTCCCCACTTAACAATATGACATGATGAGCATTTTTATTCTTTGGACTGAGGTACAGAATTAATATGTGGTTTAACATTACTATACCAAGGGTTTATTTCCGTACTACACTACTGACGGGCAGGTTATTACCAATTTTTCTATTATAACAAAAAAAAAAAAGCCACGATAAACCCCTTTATTTGTGCCTGTGCTATGGTCTGCATTGTACCCCTCCAAATTTCCTATGTCAAAGCCCTAACCCCCAGTACCTCGGAATGTGAGTGCATTTGGAGAGAAGGTCTTTAAAGAGGTAAGTAAGTTAAAATGATTTCGTTAGGGTGGACCCTACTCCAATATGACAGGTGTCTTTATAAAAAGAGAAAATGTAGCCATTGTCATCATGTGTTCGGGGCGGGGAGCGTGAAGACACAGGGGGAACACAGCCCTCTTCTACGAGCCAAGCAGAAAGGTCTGAGAAGAAACCAGCCCTGCCCATACCTTGATCTGGAACTTCTATCCTCCAGAACAGTGAGAAAATGAATTTTTGCTGCGTAAGCAACCCAGTCTGCGGTACTTTGTTACGGCAGCTCTAGCAAACTAGCCACCTTGCTTGGACAGGATTAATAATAGTTTGTATATAACAGAAAACTCAATTAAAAAAATGTTTTAGACAAGAAAGAGGTCTTTGTTATTGCTTGATTTTTCTTTCACAGAAGCAGTTGGACACTAAGCATCTAGAGCTGCTACTGTGGCTCTTCGGTCAGCTGGCACCCAGTCTGTCATCCTACTCCATCCTCAAGGTCACCACAAGTTCCAAAACAGCTGTTGGAGTTCCAGCCATCAAGCTGACTTTCATCTGGAAGAAGGGGGAAGGCAGGCCAAAAGGAACATACCTTTCTATGGAGTCAGCTTCAGTTAAGCAGCCTGCTTGGACATTCCACACGTTTCTATTTACATCTCATTGGCTAGAACCTAGCTCTCCAAGGTAGGCTGGGAATCTGTCTTCTAGCTGGATACATTGTCACCCCAAATAAAATTGGGATTCTGTTATCAAGGGAACAGAGGTAGTGGGTGTTGACAAGGTAACTAGCTAACAATGCATGTCTCACCTTCAAGTAGGACCACTGCAGTTTAAATTCTCTCCCTGCAGTGGGAGCTGATATTGTACATACTCATGCATGCATCTATATGTACACACACTATGACATTTTCTTGTGACATTGAGCAGGAACAACTCATGAGAAAAATACGGTTTTTCTTTTCTTTTCTTTTTCAAAGTCATAGGGGAAATGTCATAAGCTTTCTCCCCAGGGCGTATTGCTCCACCCAGTGGCTCAGAGCCCTGTCCTGGTGCAGTCATGCTAAAAAACATGCACAGCTGTGCTCGATCATGTGCTCTGCTGGGAGGGGTCCCCCTGTTCATTCATTTTGCCAGCTGCCAAGTGAAGGTGCAGAAGTGCTGGGAATCCTGGTCCACAGTATCTAGTTATAGAGAAAAAAAAAGTCATTTAGTGTTTTATAGAAATTGTTGGGATTGTATAAAAAATTCCAGGGCTACCGATTTTCTTGTAAAGAAGAAATTCATTTTATAGCCCACTGATGTGAAAACATCTGGATTGATTGCATTTTTACTATTTTGGCATTTGGAACTTGATTTAGTTCAACTCTTTGAGAATTTATTTAGTAAGGGTCTACTCTCTACCAAGAACCAGGTGAGACACAGATGGAAAGGTTAATATAACAAGGTCCCTGCCCTAAAGAGCTTGCAGACTAGCAGAGATAAACAATACAGAGATTACAGGAGATCAAAACCTGAAGGGTTATCATAATAACATCCCTATTTTAAATAAGAGGAAACCTTAAGTAGTGGTATTTCAAATCAGTTGTATTTTGTAAGGGGGAGAGGCACATAAATATATTGATGCCCTCAAAATATTGGTTGATACAGTTATCTTCACCAAGACAAAAGAAAAAAGTAATTTCAACTGAAACTCTCAGAATAATACTTAATTTTAATTATCTCTAATATTGCAATTGCCTTTAAAATTTTCTCCCTTACAGCATTCTTCAAAATGAAAAATACATCCAAAGTTCATTAACCAATAAGGAAATGTGGTAAAGAATTTTCTTGTGAAAGCGAGCTTCATCTCCATGCAGTACTCTATAATAAAGCAGATTGGATTCTAGATTTTCCAGATTTGGGCACCTGAACACTCAGGGTGCCTGCCATGGTATAGCTGGTCCTGCAGGCAGGCCTCCCTCACACACTAAGCTTCAGGTGAACAGAGAGACAGCACAGAGGGGAGGGGTGATTAGGGCACAGAGATGGGGAGGATATGGGACTGATGGATGAGATCCTGCCCACGTGTTCCTACTGCATGGGAACACAACACACCAGAGAGCAAGAGGACATGCCGGGTAAGGAGTGACCTGTCACACAGTGACCCTGCTCCCTAATGAATCATGGCCCCATGAATGTCAGACTCTCATTCATCACCTATGCAGATGAGTACATCAGGGAAAAGGGAGGGGAAATGTAAATTTTCCAGATATAAATTCCTATCCTTTAGAAGGCTATGTTGAAAGCAAAATGATAAAGGGCGTGCGTAAGAAAGAATGCCTGCGACTGAATTGGCTCATCTATGAGCACAAAAACAAAACGGAAGGACATTGCTCCAAAAGGGTACAGTAGGGCAGAGAATGTCCCAACTGACCACCAGGTGGCACTGTAGACCAGACACAGCTTGGTTGTTAGTCTGTTGAGTCTGGAGTGCAATGGGAAAGTTGGTATCAAAACCCAGCATGCCTAGACATACAGTGGAATGTTACTCAGTCCTAAAAAGGAAGGAAATCGTGGCACATGCTACAATATCAATGAACCTTGAAGACATCACTTAAAGTCAAATAAGCCAGACACAAAAGGACACAAACTATGATTCCACTTATATAAGGTACCTGGAGTAGTCAAATTTATAGGCACAGAAAGTAGAATGGTAGTTTCCAGGGCTGGGGGGAGAAGGGAAGGAGTTATTGTTCACTGGGTACAGAATTTCACTTTGGGCAGATGCAAGGTTTCAGGAGCTAGATGGCGACGATGGTTGCACAACAATGGCAATGTGTAACACTTAGTAATACAGAATGGAGAGGTTCACAAAAACCGGTAAGATGGTAAATTTTACGTTATGAATGTTTTACCACAATAAAATAAACAAGCCAGAGTGCTCACACTGTTGTCTTATACCTGCTTAAAATAGTCTAAAATAGGCAAGGAAGGAGGAAGAGGGTTTTCCCACCTGCCTGCCCCACCTGTGAGTTCCACCATCCCATTGTTCCTCACCAAATCGTCAGTTAGCTCTCTGTTTGCGTGTTGTTCACTCATGTATTTGTTCAATCCTTACCAAGTGATGGCCTCAGGCCAGAAAGAGAATACATTCTGCAGCGGCCAAGCGCTTCTCCGCGTGGTCCCAGGTCCCTGATGTGTGCTCCATTCACTGTCCCCCAGCCACTCCTTCGGGTTGCATGTTTTCAGCTTTCCTCTCTCACTCATTTTCCATTTTAATGAAAAATCCTTTGCACAGTAGCTTTGGTTCATATTATAATTTTAAAAGAGCTTGAAGGAGTAATGGCTGCTGTTTCTAAAGAGATATGCCTTTACTCCAGTGACTCCAGGGTTAGACATAGTCTTCCTCTATTAACTAAAATACGGTACAGCAACCACCCTCAGATCTCAGTGGCTCACCACTGAGTTTACCTTTTGTTCACATTTTATGTCCGACACAGGTCAGTAGAGGGTCTGCTCCATGGTCACGTAGGCTTACTGACACGCCATCATCTGCTGGCT